ACCAACCCTTTCAAACAAACAAGGCCGACATTTACCTCTGCATCTGCATCTCGCTAAGACCGCCCTTTCCGCAGCCATCGAGGAACTTTTTGAAGTCGTGGTTGAGGTACTCAAAAACGAGGTAGAGGTTGTTGTTCTGGTGGATGACCTCCTTGAGCCTGCAGACAGCAGTATATGACAAATGAGTGAATGGAATAGCAACTTTGAGGCGGTTTGATTTGATTGTGTCTTTGCTTGGGTTGATGGTGTGGCTGCGTGATGATGCGTGGATTTTTTTTTTTTTTTTTTTTTTTTTACTCGTCCTCAGCTTGCGGCTGCAACAGCAGATACAAGCGACGCAGTCCGTCACCGGATCCACGAGCCCTCTGTTTGAGATTGCACAAGTGTTGGAACTGCGATCGCCACAGCCCAGCAGCCAGCGGGACAAGCGGAGTGGCGCTCACAAGCAGGTGGGGCAAAAAACAAAAAAAAAAAAACTGTTTCGTTTGTCAATCCATCCCATTCTTCTCTTTGTCGGGTCGCCAGCAGCCCGTCGAGCTCCATCGGCGCCACAAACCGGCGTGCATTCGAATTCACTGCTCTGTGTGCTTGCGCTTTGGCACTAGACTCAGACGGCCAGGACAAAGGAAGCGCGCAGTTGAACGAGAAACAAAAAACACCCCTCAACATGTTTCGCTTTGCATTTCAATCTCTCAATATCGTCGCAATAGAGATCTTGCAGGAAAATGAGACGAACAACAACAGACCATTGAAACAACAAACCACTTACGGGACGACGTTCATGTGTGTGAGCTCCTTGAGCAGGGAGATTTCGCGGATGGCGGTGGACGGGACGCCCTCGTCCTGCGACTCGAGGCGGATCTTCTTCATGGCGACATACTCGCCCGTGCGCTTGTCCGTTGCCTTGTAGACGATGCCGTAGGTGCCTTCGCCAATCTTCTCTTCCTTTGTGTAGTTGTCCATCTCTTTGCTTTTAGTTCTTTGTGATGAGATGAATCAGACGTTTGAAAGCACGATAAAAATAAGAATGGATTCATCTCAAACAAGCAAGCATGCAAGCAAGCGGATTGCGAGCGCTGGATGTTGCAAATGCAGGCAAATCTCGCACTAGCACACAAGATCAAGCCGTGTCGAAGAAAAGAAAAAAAAAACACACCGGGATGGCACGCAGCATCGAGAAACTAGCCGGGTGCGAATCAAAAACTGTTTGAAAGCTGAAACAAGCTCGAGAAGAAAAAAAAAAGGGGGGGGGCCGTCGCTTTCTTCCTTGTCGCTTGCCTCCCGTCCATCAACAGATGTGTGTACAATGAAGCAACTCTCATTTAAACGAGTTCGCCGCACTGAACGTGCAAAGACGAGGGCCGAAGAAGAAGAAGAAGAAAAAAGAAGCGAGAAACAAAAAAAAAAAAAAACACAAAACGTAAAAGCCGGTTCTGTTCGCTTCAATCATTCGCAACGTCGGCGCCAGACGCATCAAAGTAGCAGAATGCGCACTCGCTGTTGTTGACGCCTATCACCCCATCGCCGCAACGCTGTGCGCCCTCTCGGCTGAAAGGGACAAGCCAAAAGGAGAATATGGAGAAAAACAAATCGATTCGGAAACAGTTTGAAACAGCAACTGCTCCGCCCTTCCAGACCATTCCTTCCAGGCACCGCGGCCACCCAGCATGCAGGCAACTACACACGCCATAGACGTGCGTTCAACCTGCGCGCAGGCGAGACCGCACCACTGCCAACCGCCGACGTCCAACAAGACCGAGAGCAAAGATGCTGTTTGACGCGGCTCGTTTCCCGCCATTTTGGTTTTTTCGGCTTTTTCCCCCTCTCTCTCCCTCTCCCTCTCTGTCGGTCGAGTAATTCGGTTCACTTCCCCCTTCGGCTCTTTTTGGATTCCACTCTCTCAAGCACAGCAGTCATTGTTGCAAGACTTTTTCTTACCTCTGCTTTTGTTGTTTGATTTCTGAATTTCAAGAGACTGGCAAAAACACAAATTCGGAAAGAGCTCACTTTTCGCTTTTCGTTTTTTGGAGTTTGCTTGTCTTCGAATCAATCGGTTAGTTAACAATTCGTATCGTTGTTGGATTTTGCTTCTTTCAATCATACTGTTTTGTTTTTTTTTTCCTTTTTTTTTTTTTTTTTTTTTTTTTTTTTTTTTGGCGATCGCACCGCTCTCCAGCGCTTCTCCTCCTCCTTCTGCGCTCTTCCTCTGCGCTTCTGCATGCTTGTAGGGTCAGTGCCTCGCTTCCCTTCCCACCTCAAGCTGTCCTTTGCTTCTTTGGCAGGCGCTCATCCGACCGCGTGCTCTCGAAAAGCACATGGCGATCTCCATTTTTTTCTTCTCTCCCCCCCCCCAACTCTCCCTCTCTCTCAACACTCGAGCTGATGATCAACCAAAGTAAATGCGCAAATTCATACTGAAAAACTGAGGGGAGCACTCGTGCTCTTCGCTGCTGCATCAACATTGGGTAATTCTGATCTCCATCCTTTCTCCTCTTTCCCGCGCTTCTCCTTTCTTCACTTCTGTCTTGCACGTGTGCCGTTCATCCAGTTTGCTGACATTCCTGTTTTTGGTCTCTTTGCTTGTTTCATCTCGAATAGGCTGCTGCCATCCATCTTTGGCTCTTGGCTCATCCTCCCGCCGTCTTGCTGTTTTTACCGTCCTTGTCCCGCATCTCTGCAAAAAGGTAAACAAACTAGCCCATCTTCATCAGCGTTTCCTTTGGACCCATGGTGTTATCATGCCGACGAGTTAATCTCCGTCGTGGATGGCAGTTTCAGTCTGCTTCGTTCACGCCCGTCGTTGGCAAAGAATATCGGTCGGCGTCTCGCGACAACGAGCGTCGATACTTTAAACGCGGCGCATGTATCTTCTGACACAAATCATCCTCGGGTGAAATGTAGTGTCGGATCGAAGTGCGTTCGACAATCCCCCAATCCTCTTCAATCTCTTGATCTTTTTTTGTTTCTTGTTTTTGTTTTTTGTTTGCTCACTTTCGATTTTCCCCCTCCCTATTCTGCTCTTTAGATCTCCAAGCTCATTTTTAGTGCTCTGCCATATGTACCGTTAGCTCGTTTGTGTATTTTTGTCACGGTAAGTTTGATAGCCATGCACAAAACAAAAAAATGTCAGCATAAAATACACGTTTACGATTTGCTCGCAAGGCGCAACAGTTTCATCCACAAACCAAACAAAAAAAACCGCTATTCGCTCCACACTCAAGACACCACCTTCATGATGTAGTGCATTGCGCGGTACTGGAGAGGACAAATCCAGTCGGCAGTCCATCCAGCAGCATGAATCGAGTACGTGGAGGACAGAGAGTTGCCAATGACCTTGCCGCCGCGAGCCACCATGATGCGATCGTACTGCTGAAGTGCCTTGGGTACGGCTTCCGCGGAAGTCTCGCCGCTCGCCTTGAGAATCGCGGCGGCCAGATCGGCCGCATCTGCAATGGCGGAATTGGCTCCGAGCCCGCGATGGGTTGTCGTGGCATGCGCAGCATCGCCCAACAGCACAACACGATGCGAAGGTGGGTCGAGGATGCTGGGCAGTTGCGCCGCGCTGGTCGAATAAACTTGCCGAGGACCAAACAGCCAGCCGTCCGGTTTGGTGGCGCGAATCGCCCCAGCAATGTCCGGGGTAATGTGCGTCGCCACGCGTGCGATGCAATCGTCGAGCAATGCCTGTCTCGCATGGTTGGATTCCGAGTACTCGTTGGTCACATCCTCCTCGGCGTGCGCAAATTTCGTCTCCCACTCTGCCCGCTGTCCAGGATACGACATGATCCACACAAGAAGTGGCTGCTCGTGCTCCTTGACGGCAAAAATGGGAAACATCATTGCGGTGTGTCCTTGACGACCAAGCCAGCGCACGAGACCCTTGTCAAGCCTGCCGCGCACTGCAGGCGGAGCCGCATCCAGCGTGCTCAAGCCGGCAACGGTAGTAAACCCAAGGTCCTCGTAGCGAATACCAGGCGCACGCTGCTCTCGAACACGCGAGTTGGCTCCGTCCGCACCGACCAGAATATCGGCGGTGACGACGGAACCATCGCGGAAGCGAACTTGGGTGGTACTCTTGTCGTCGGCCGACTCCTCGTACGACTCGAAGCGCTTATTCCAGTGGATGGTGAGGCCATCCAGGAGACACTTGCGCAGCTCGATTCGGTTGACAAAGCAGCATCCAGGAGGCACAGGGAGGCTGAGGAGCTCCTTCGAGTCCGTATCCAGCACCTGCTTGCATTGCACCTGGGATCGCGGGTCTGTCACCAGCCTTGCCAGCTCGGGCAGGTTGCCAAAAGTCGGCTTGAGCAAATCCACTGCCTGAGAGATCAAATTGATGTAATATCCTTGATCGCGACCATCTGCGGACGAGTCGCGCTCGAAAATGTCAACTTGAACGGGCGCCTCTTGAGCACGCAGCAGCTGAGCGAGCACCAGCCCGCCAATCCCGCCTCCGACAATGACAACACGCAACGGCATGGTTGAAGAAGCAGCTGTTTCCGCTTGATTTCTAGCGTTGGGTGATTCTTGTATGAGACTGAACAGACCTCCAAACTTGGACGCCAGCGTTAAAAGGGCCAAGTTGGAAAATGCGGCGCATTCTGTGCGTTTCGGATTTTGGCGTTCATCCTTTTAGTTTGAGCATTGCCAAGTGGTCCAGAATGGACAGTCGCACACTCTTCATTCGTTCGGTTTTCCCCAATGTCTGAATGCCAGTAATGAGGTGGCCTTTGGAGCGACGGGCGGCGAATTGGATGCGAGACCGGTCGGTCAAAGAAAAAAAAACTAAGGCTTCGTTGGTAAAATGATCGTTGTGCACGAGACAGTGCTGTACTGTACTGCCGAGGCTCTGAGTGTAGATTTGATGAATCATTTTATAAGCCAAGATCTGAGTTGTCGCTGATCTTGGTAAGCGCGAAACCTCGCGTAGCTCTGAGGATTTGTGCATTTTGGATTCGATTCAGTCAAACAGTGCATTGCAGAAAATCACCACCCAAACCACAACATTCTGCACTTGCTTGCAGTAAATCATTGGAGCTCCCTCTCTTGCTTCGAGGTGACAAAGCAGAAGACATACGGGTTGAAGGGGAAGTGATTGCAGTCCTTGTTTTCCCACTGATGGCGACTCGACGATCGGCGCGACTGCTGCCTGGCCCGCCGCCGCAGACGCCCGCATTGAGCGCAACAGCCTTGTCGCCGTCATCCCAAGGCGAAGTGGCGCCGACACGGCTGGACGACCGCGCCGGACCATCCTCGCGTCGCTCAGCCAACTCCATCTCAATCTCAAAGCCAGCAACGCTGGTGGTCAAGGATCCCAACGCACCGAGTCGCGAAATTTATGGATTTGTGTTTTATCTCGCCGCATGGGCAGCCTGGGGTAAGTCGCGCGCACCTCTCCCGGGCCCAATTCTCGCCAGTGGTCGTCAAAGCCAATCGCGGCTCAGTAGCTCGGAAATTCTCGCTCTTGGTTGCACTTTGGACTGCTGACTATGGTTATACTGACATTGTGACACAGTGGCCTATATTCTCTGGGCGGTTGTTCCGGACGAGTACCTGCGCATGGTCGGCATCACGTATTTTCCTCAAAAGTGAGTTACACGATTTGGAGTCGCAGGACGACCATTTCCCGCTGGGGCATGGGTACGACTGTTTGCTGACTTGTGACTAAACTCGTTGTATGAGCAGATACTGGGCTGTGGCTGTCCCAGCTTATGCATGCATGATTTGGGTCTTTATCTACTGGTTTTACCTTGCTTCCAATCTGCTGAGAGTGCCAGCGTTGGACTCGACTGCAACCATCCTTGGTGAGTGCAAAGTATATCAGGCAAATGATTCAACGTCTTTCGTAAAGAGCCCGAGGACTCACGTTGGGTTGCTGGACAACAGATTCGCACACTGTGACGAGACCTGCCGCTGCAATTCTGGCCGAGATTGAACATCCTCAGGCCATCCCGGCGCTTGCAGACATTCCAGTGTCAACGGTGCACCGCGTCATGTTTCCAGATGAAGATGACGACAATAAGGACGACGACTGAATGGACCTGATTTTCAAGGGCAATTCGACGAAATGTTCCATCGGAGCGAGTGGTCACCAGACTGGTTCGAGCACTGCAAGAAGCACCTAGAGAGTATTTTCATCAGTTTTGCAGGTCGCAACCTGACATGGCTCGCAGCAGATGCAAAAGGCAGCGATGTTGGATTTTATTGCGACGTCTCGGCCATCCTTTCCTCGTGGTGACTTGAGTCATTCGCCAGTGATCCTGCGTTGATGACTTGAGCTGCTTGCCAAGTGATCCAGCTCAATTTCTTTGACGCACCCACCTGGTCAAGACAACCAAATTTCATTTCGCGCTGGCCATTTTTTCGAATTTAGTCGAATGATCCCTGTATTTAACTCCCACTGAGCCGCCACTCTACCATTACATTTCTACATTCGCATCATTTTAATTCGCAGTCCATATTTTTTTCTTCCCCTCATTCATGCATCAGGATGCGTGAGCTCAACTTTGTTGACGTTGTTCGTCGCCGCGAGATTGGCTCGCTTCGCCCACTCGCGTCGCGTAAGTTTGCCCTCCGACCGACTTCTTGTTTTTCAATTCCCTATTGTCAGCAACCCCTCTCGACTCCTTCCAATCGCTCGACGCGAGAACTGGCCAAATTGTTGAACAAATCTGTGAATGACGCGAAATTGGAAAACGCCGTGCAGCTTTCTTGTTGCTTTTCTCAACGACTAACTGAATGAGAGCTGTCCTCCGAAACTGAAGGACGCTCGACGTCACAGTGTGGTTGCTCGTGCATGCGACAGGACTGGTCGGTTTTTTTGTGGTTGGTGGCTGGGGCAATGGAAAGTGACTGGGCACTCAAATTGGTCGCTGTGTTGAACTCACTACAGAACACGCGTTTGCGCGGTCGAGCGGCCTTGCCTCGCGCCTCGGACTGACGCACACGCTGGAAGAGCACGATGGCTGTGTCAACACGATCAACTGGAGCTGCAACGGCGAGTTTCTGCTGAGTGGCTCGGACGACACGCGAGTACGTTCCGTAACAAGTGGAAACAAAGTGTCTCAGAAAATTTGTGGAAAACGCATTCGGTTGTCCACAAACCCCAGAGTTTAAACAATAGCGCGCAATCATGGTGTTGATGAGAAGTGTGTCGGGGAACTGGACTAACTCTGCTCTTGTGCCCGTTTGCTCTCCAGCTCTGTTTGTGGGATTACCAACGCAAACAACTCCGACTGGCTTGGCATGCCGGCCACACGGCCAACATTTTCTGCGCCAAGTTCATGCCAAACACGGATAATAGCGTGATTGTCTCGTGCGCAGGCGATGGCCAAATTCGAGTGCACAGCGTCAGTCAGACCGTGTACGCTCCGGACGTGGACGCGCCAGTGCGCCACCCACCTCCCGAGCAAGCCATCCCAGGGCGTCGCGCACGGCTGAGAACCCCGATAGAGGCCCGGCATTCTGAAACAGCGCCAAGAATGCTGCAAACCTACCGCTGCCACGACGATCGTGTCAAGAAATTGGTCATGGAGCCGGGCAACGCGCATTTCTTCCTGTCGTGCGGGGAGGATGCTACGGTGCGCCAATTCGACCTGCGCGAGCCGCACGAATGCGATCGTACATGCTCCAATGCGATTGTGCGCGTGGTCGGCTCCCATTCCCAAAGTATCGAGATCAACAGCATCTCGCTGAGCGCGACGCGACCGTCGTACTTTATCATTGGTGGTGCCGACAAGTATGTCCGGCTGTACGATCGGCGCATGCTTCGCCGCCAGTCTGACTCTGTGGCGGCCGTGCAACGGTTTTCTCCTCATGGCATCGACTCGAATCACTTGACTGCTGTATCGTTTGCACGGAATGGTCGCGAGGTAAAGGGGGGGGGTTAATCGTTGGGGATGGGGGTGCTGCTTCTCAATTCTTGTGGTTTTGGGTTGCTTATGATTCTGAATCTCCTTGACCTGATTTTATTGCGTTTTTGTTTTGATGGTGGCTTGGTTTTTGGTTTTTGTTTTTGTTTCTGTTTTTTTCGTTGACAGTTTGTCGCAAGTTACTCGCGAAATCACGTCTACCTGTTTGACATGTTTGATACACCGCCAGCTCTTGCGCCGGAACCAAGACCGTGTCGGCGCGCCAACCGTGCCACGCATTCTCTGCGTGAAGCGGCTGATCGGAGCAGATCAGCTCCTCGGCAAACAACTTCCAGGACCAGGCGCGCGGCTGCGGCTGCGGCAACAACAACCACACACGCGCCAGCTACATCCTCGAGTGCAGCAGCCCATGCCGACCTTGCGGTTCTGCATGGCTCTGATCTGGCCTCGCTGGACGAATTTCGCTCGCGTGCCCACGATGCGCTCGACCACGGACGCTTTGACGATGCGCTCTCGTGGTGCAGCTGCATTCTCACCCGCCTCAACAGTGCAGCCGTTGCATCAAACAATGCGCTTGACGAGACCAGTGCTGGCAACGACAATGAAGCGGAGGACGACGACCAGAGTCCAGATGCGGAGGCGATCGATCAGACGATTGTTTGGAACGCGCTGAGCAGCAGTCGCGGCTCTGCGAGCACTTCGAGAGCGTCGGCTGATGCAGCACAATCTACCCGCTCCACAGAAACTCTCGACGCACCCTCTTCCTGGACTGCCAGCGCGGCCTATTCACCAACTCCCCCTTCAACAGTCACACGTCGATGTGCAGTGTACATACTACGCGCACGAACACTTCTCCAGAGGAGAGACAGAGGAGATGAGGACCAGGCACTGCGGGAGTGTGATCGTGCGCTCGGTCTGGTCCAGACGCTCGGGGAGCCCCGAGCTTCCCACAACCCCAGCGCGCCGAGTGACGAATTGCATCCCGCCAATCTGTTGGGGCGGGCATGTGCTCTGAAGAGCATTGTGCTGAGTCGCAAGGGCCTGCGAGCGAACGCATCCACTTGTCTTCATCGAGCGCGCCGCTTGCTGGCTCCGTCCGACCCCGACATTGTCGAAGCATTGAGACTCATGGCATCACAGGGTGACGCTGATGGCGAAGAGAACGATGAAACTGCGAGCGAACCGTCTCGGATGATGACGCGAGCTCGCGCAGCGCGTGAACGAGAAGCGCTTTCGAATCGCGACACTCTGGCAGAATACAATCCGCTCCCAAACGTCGCATCTCCCTCGGCACAGTCCGACACGACCAGCATGGAAACCGACTCGTTGATTTCGGTCGAGGTGGACGCTATGATGTCGTTCGACGAAGGCTACAGCTCGAGCTCGATCACTGACGAAGATGCTGGCAATGAGCACATTGAGGATGGGTCTGATGCCGATGGGTTTGTTGCCGAAGACGGTGGTGGCGACGACAACGACGACGACGACGAGGATGAGCAACAAGAGGATGAAGAAGAAGAAGAAGACCCCGAGGACGACACCGACTCCGAGGATGACCAGCCCCTTGACGGATTGCCCCCGATTCGCCCTGCAGCGATTACGAGCGCGATGCCCACAGGCGGGTACATTCAAGCCTATGTTGGTCACTTGAATGTGCAAACTGTCAAAGACGTGGCGTTCTTTGGTCCTGAAAGCGAATTTGTCGTTTCCGGAAGCGACGACGGGCGAATTTTCATTTGGCGCAAAGACAATGCCAAGTTGGTTCAACTCCTGGATGGAGATCGTGATGTGGTCAATTGCATGACGGTGAGAGGGTTTTTTCTTCGGGATGGTGCTTTGCTATGAACCCGCCGTGATGGTTTGAGTTTGCAACTCATTTTGGATGTTTGTTTTTTTGGGGGGGGGGGATTTCGACACCATTGTCGACAGGGTCACCCGTTCGATCCCGTGATGGCAACAAGTGGTATCGAATCGTCCGTCAAGATTTGGCAACCTATCAAGTCCAAAGTTGCTGCTGATTTCGAAGAAGTGGCCAACAGCGCAATCCAGCGCAATGAACGCGAACGTGTGAACGAGCGTCGCCATGTCATTCCGCGTCGATACCTGGTCCAATACTTGCGCCAACTCCAAGGTGGAGACGTGGAAGGCGCCAATATCGCTGAAAACTGCACAATCATGTAAACTTTGAGGGACGAGTGTTGATACGCGAAAATTCAATGGATAACACAAGCGAAAAAGTAAAAAACAAAAAAACAATGAAAAAACAATGAACAAAATATTATACACCAAATCAACAACGCGAAAACAGGCAAATGCGACAAAATAAACAGCGGCTCAAAAAAATCAAAGTCACACCATCGTGGCGTTAGACGTGTGATTGCCAGTGATGCACAACGAGGTCGACGGCGCCGAGTCCTCCGGAATCAAGGTGACGACAGTGCTCACCACGCAAAAGATCGTGCCCAGCGTCAGAAGCGCCATCGCGGGAATGTGCTCCAGTGTGAAAACTCCGCTGATGCCACCATTGATGGGAGCTTTGGTGCGCGAGTCAAGCCGCAAAAAGATGAGAGCCGGCAAAATGAAGCTGATGACTGTCGAGCCAAGTGCGCCAGAAATGCCAAGAACGACGCTCACATCCTCGACCAGCATGGCGACGGCGTATGCAACGCCGATCAGAAGGAAAACCTCAATGAAGTGGCGAACGGGAGCGGGTCGAGATCGGGGGAAGAGCAGCGCGTCCAGGTTGGCAACGCATGGCTGTGCCATTAGCGGGAAGCTGAATGTAATCACAAGTGCCAGCGCTGAACAATGCAGAATGTCGTTTGAGTGAGGATGCACAGAAACACAAAGAGTTGCACAAACGCAGAGTCAGAAAAGAAACGTGAAACGGGCAATGCAGAGAAAGTAGCAAAGGATTCAGCTTACCAAGTCGACCAACCATGACAAAATCGTCATTGACATCGTAGTTGAGGAGAATGTTGCCACGAACTTGATCGTAAAACGTCAAGTAACCGAATGTCGCCACAAGCAGATACAACGTCAGGCAAATCGACATGGCAGTGCCGATAACGAGGTTGATGCGCTTGCGAGTTGGTTGCTTGAGCTCGGAAACAATGGGGAAAATGTTCCTGCCAACAACCAGAGCAAGTGAGCTTGAGCAGCAACGCGATCAAACACACACGTCGCCTCCGCACCCCCGCCCAACTCCAAAGGACAAAAAACAAGCGACGTACATCTGACATGTAAAGGCAAACGTAATGATTGGAATCGCCCGGAAGAGAGACTCGGATAGCTGCGCGAGCACCACACAGCTGCCGCCGTCGCAAACAAACAAGTCCGTTTTGCTGATACTCTCGCCGCTGCGGAGAATGACGACAAACAAGAGATACGAAATGGCGCCCACGGCAAAAACAGAAGTAAACCGAAGAGAGTGGATACTGCGAGGCAAACTGAGCGGCAACAGAACGAGCAGCGCAATGCTAATGGAAAATCGGCGATCGGCGACCAGGCTGCAGTAGTCGGCGTTCGTGCCACCCGACCAACGTCCGATGAGCGGGGACTGTAGGGAGTTTGGAGGGATTCATTCTTGTCAGTATGCACCAAAACACCAACCGAAAAAAACAAAACACAAAAGGCCGTCCACTCCTCCCGCTCCTCCCGCTCCTCCCGCTCCTCCCTCGCCTCGATCTGCTTTTTGTTTGCTTGTTAGTTTGTTTGTGGCTTACCATCATGTCGCCAATTATAATCAAGTACGAAATCATCGTGCCGAACGTAGCAACCACCACGCTGATTTGGGTCACAATGACGCCAGGTCGACCAAAGGCCTCGCGAGCAACGCCCATGTAAGTCTTGCTGACGGCCAGCTCGGAGCAACGGACCAGTAGGTAGAGCGAGTACACGCCCAGAATGTACGTGAGCACGAGCAGAATGCCTCCGACAACAATGCCCGAGCTGTGGTACGAGTAGGGCAAGGCGACTAGGCCGCCGCCCACAACCGTGTTGACGAGATTAAAGATGCTGCCGGACAGGGTGCCCGCGCGTGATTCAGACGATTGGAGCGAAACGGTCTGTGCTCGCTTGCCACCAGTTGAGAACGCATTGCTTCCTTTTCCGTTCGACGCAGAGTATCCCAGCGTGCCATAGCTGCCCAGCGTGTCTGCGGACATGGCAGAACTATGTCCAGCGCCAGCGCCGCCAGCAGCAGACGAGTACGTGCCATTGTGCACGATCGGACCACGGATTGAGTCGCGATGCGGATGCTGGTACGCCGCCTGAGCTTGCTTGCCAGATATGAGCGCCATCCGCTCATTGGAGCTGTTGAATGCAGCGTCCTCGTCGTCAGACGAGTCGCCGCTCGTGGTACTTCCGCCATGGGCACTTGACGATCCGTTGCGGCGATGATGATGACCGCTGCCTCCTGCTCCTGCTAACTGGCTCGTGTAGCTGCTTCCAAGGTAGCTCCCACTGGCTGACACTTGCCCTCCAGTAGCTGTCCTGTGGTTGTGAATGTGGTCGTCGTCGTCGTCGTCCGCGCCGTCCGTTCCCATGAGCAGCGCGGCATTGGCTGCTGCGGCGTAGGCTGCTGCGGCTCTGTTGGCGGTCGCCGGGCTCGCTGCAGCGACGGCACTCGCATACGCCGCCTGCTGTTGCAGCATCTGTCGATGGAGGTTGTTTGGTGTTGCGATTGGCACCGACGCAGTTGGAGCTGGAGCTGGAGACGAAGCAAAGCGGCGCTCCTCGTCCTCGAGACCAAACTCGGTGACTGCCGCGCTGCGCTCTGCCGCGACCGCCTGTGCCGCCGCGGCCTCGTCGCCTGCCACCTGCCACGCATTCGGGACGCTCTTGTTCATCACCATGGTTTATGCGATGGCAAGGCGGCAAAGTGATGGGAAAAAATGTGCAACAACACAAGGCGAGCGGAGATTCAGTCACGCGGGGTGCAACGCAGAGCGGAGATTGGACCAAAATGACAGCAGGCCCCAATCCAATTGAATTGGAAAACGGAATGGAGGAGACACAGAGGGGTGACACGAAACGAAACGGAAGACAAAGAGGAGGGAACGAAGGAAGAGAAGGGAGAATGGAGAGTGAGGCAACACAATGAAAGAAAAAAACAAATGGAGGATGGAATTGGAATTGGCCGCTTCATGGTAAAATGCGCAAAAGGGGGGGTTTCGCAAAGCGGTTGTGTATTCATTATTGTTTTGCTTTTCGCGTGTTAAGAACATAACATCAGTACGTGATCACTTGGAGCAAAGGGGAGGGACGAGAGGAGGCCCGGTCTAGGGCTTTTTGGTTCGGGAACGAAATTTGCGCTCTTTCAAGTGGACAGGAGCTGGTGAGCTCAAGCTCACGCTGCACCCTGCATGCGGAGTCTTCAATTCGCTGATCAAAAGCTGCGCGTCAACTTTCTTGGATTTCCGGTCATTGGTGATTTCACCAAACATGGCTTCGCACACCTTCCGAAGCTCACACTGGCTGCCGACACCAAAGCCATTGCACGACCGAAAGCATTCGGCGCCATAGTATGCGCGAACGATCGTAAAGTGGATCGCCTTGTGTCGATAATACGGAGTGTTGTTGGTGTCGAGCCACAGGCGCAGGCGATCGTTGTCGTTCTCCACAGCGCATTCGATTTCGCGCGGAGGCAGCTGGAAAAATACGTCCGAGTATTTGCGAGGAACAAGCGCAAACTGGTTGCTCAGTTGGTACTCTGAGTTGCCGGGTACAAAGACCGACTCATTGAGTGATGCGAGCGACGGCAGAGGTTCCGGAAAGCCGACATCGGGGCGTGCTCGTACAATCCAGTCAAACTTGACACCAACTTGGTTCTAAGAAGTCGCAACCATCGACAAAGGACGTGAGATCAACCAAGATGAAATCGCCCTTGCATTTGCGCGATCGCGGTGGTTTGCAACAAATTCGGAGTACAGTCGTTACCTCGTAGTCCAAGACAAGCGAGTAACTGTCGAGAACTGAAAGCGATTGAATCAAGGAAGGGCGGCTTGCACAATTGTGCGTCCACATGGGATCGGGAACTTGAAACGACCGCCAGACAACGAAATGCTCGGCTTTGCCTGGCAACAAATCGCGCAACGCGTCGAAAAGATCTTCCTGACTGTTTGCACAGCCAAGACCCGACCGAGGCCAGTCTTCCAGACGGCTGTTAGAAAAAATCAAGATGGTACCACCGAGAGCAGCCAGCAGGTTGTTGCGAAGGGAATCGAGTAGGGCGGGATACTTGAACGACCGCATTGTCCCGGAAAACGCAACGGCGGTCCATGGACGGGGCCAACCGTCAGGTCCGTCTTGCAAGCGGACAACCGATGGCGACACCCACGCATTATCTTCCATGAGCTTGTGAGCATTCACTTGGCTGAACGTAAGATCTGGCCGCGCAATGAACCTGGACGGCAGAGGCTCAGTTTGCTCTGTTCGAGCCATGCGCTGTGGGTCTGCTGTTTCCAAGGGCGCCTGCTGTCGTGCGTCAGATTCAGTGTTGGTAGAGTACAACGTGAACGAGCCGATCACTGCAAACACAAGCAAGCAGCCAAACACACGCTTGGCGTTGCTCATCTGGGAGGAAGCAAACAACGAAAGAAAAAGAACAAAAAAAAAAAAGAAAAAAAAAAAAAAAGAGAGAAGTGTCCGCTTTCAGTGCAAAATCAGTGGGAAGATGATCCGGACACACACAATCTGCCGGGACCCTCGAACGAGGGGACGGCTGTTGTGTGTGCAGTCTAAGTCGGGCTAGAAAGGTCGTTTTGAACAAAAGTCATGATGGTGATTGGAGAGATGTTGAATAGCAACAAATTTTGCACAGAACAAATTTTGCACACGTCAATACCACGGCACCAACAACTGTCAAGACTGCCGCTCGTCCCACATGAGTCGAAGAAGCATGTCGATCCAAACATCGATGGGGCCCCCGGGAAGGCAAAAGTGCACACAGTCGCCATCATGAGCATCATTTCGCACAATGGTGGGAGGAACAATGTCAAACAAGGTAATCCGGGGATCTTTGACCAGTGCCTGCCGAAGAATTCGATTTTGCACAAAGTTGTCCATGCCTCCAACGAAACTAGAGTACGTTGCGTTCTGCATTGGTACTGTATCCAAGCATGTGCCACCCGTGTTCCAATCACCATTTGTATGGTGTCGTGGGGCTGTAGCACGGAACAAGCACCGTGGCTTGGCATGAGCGTCGAGACGTCGCGACATTGTATCGACAACAGAGTTGACAACTTTTTCGTAAGCGTCAGACCACAGAACTCCAGGGACTTTGAAATTGTTCGACTGAAGCCAGTAGCCAATATTGGCCACAAGATAGTCGGAATTCTCGAGGACAAACGTGAGTTGCTTCGATGGTTGGGTATAGTTGAGCTCTGGAGTAGGCTTGCTTCCCTTGTACTCCACCAGAAACGGATATGTGGCACTGAAAAGCGTGAAATTCAGACTGGGAAAGTAAAAGGAGCCTCGAACGGGGCCTGGGAAGCGGTCGCCCTGAAAGCCCTCGGCAAACAACCTGGCTACAAACTCCATGCCAAACTGCCAATTCAAAGAATCGCCGATAATAGCCACTCTCTTGTTGGTTAGCACCGTGGAAACGACAGTCTTGAAGTCGAGATCATTCAACGTGTCTGTGGATTCGTAAAACCATCCTGGCTCGGAGTCTAGGTTGCACAACCAGGCGGGTGCCCAATTCAACGAGGAGTTGGCAATAATCTTGATGGATTCACGTCGATGTAAGACGAGCGGATGATCCTCTGGGAGTTGCTTCCACGTCCCGGAGGCCGATTTAACATTCGGGAGCACTGGATCATGAGTCGCGTCAGGATTGAACGGGGTCGACTCTGCAGGATTGGACGGGATAGGTTGTGCAGGATTAGACAAGGGGCTGGACGAGGCAGGCTGCACATTGTCAAGACTGGGCTCGGACTCGGAGATGAATGGTGTTGTCGAATGAAGGGATTCGGCAGATAACGTGGAGGAATCAGCTTGGGTCGCGTCGGAATTGTCGAAAACAACCGCCGCGCTCGACGCTGGAGTCAGAATCCATGTTGAGCTCGGCTCTTGTTGCCCTCGACTGCTCATGGGCGCGCTGGTTGCAGCTGGGGAATCGCTAGACTTCATCATGATGGCGAAATAGTCCTCGGTGTCACCTTGAACCGGCTGCTCCCCAGCGAGCACACGGGTTGACAGCTGCGTCAGGCTGCCCGACCACTGCAGTACTGCCAGAGCTGCCACACTCGCTATGACTGCTAAGAGCAAGCGCCGCCGCTGGGACGTGTTTGTCGTCATTCTAGCGGTGCAAATAAAAATGAAATCTTTTTGCGGCCCAAAAAAAAAAAAAATGGAGGTCACCCATTGATTAAAATAATTCAACTTTTGCGATATCCGTCTGCGACCGACTTGATCTGGACCCCTGACCCCACCATGTGTTTATTTTGTAATACCCATGATATTATTTTACTTCTCCGAGCTGGGGCGAGCACTGCACGGTACTAGAGAGGGCCTCCCTAAAAAGACTCAGTCCAAAAACCATTGCGCCCCACCCTAAAAAGACTCAAACCCGATTATCTCGGCTTGTATTCCTCCCACCCCGCCGCCGTCTTCGAATATCAATGAACACTCATTCCAGCTACAAGGAAGACATGGTCAGACGGGCGCAGGAGCAACTTGAGGTCGGCCTCGCCCAGATTGCGACCGCGTCTCCCTTCCGCCAGAGGCTCCTGACGAAGGCCACCGCCCTCAAACTATACTATTTTGACCCGTTCCTATCCACTACGGATGTCGGCGGAGCTCCGGGAGCCTCCGCCGAGCGAATCTGGACGACCCGCCAAATCGCCCATGCGCTGGGTCGATCGCAGTCCATGATCGCCCGCTGCATCAAGGCCCACGCCAACCTCGCTCCTGACATTCCTGGAATGACCTTAGATGAGTTGGCTGACGTTCTGCGCGAGGATCCCATCCAGGGACAAGGCTACGTGTTCACCGTCCCCGAGGAGCAAGAGCTCGTCGAGTTTGTCAAGCGGTGCTGCTTAGGAGCTGTCTCTCTGAGCAAAACGGAATTCACTCGATATGTGCTTGCAGCCTCGAAGGTGCCGAGGCCGGACGGCGTGGAAAGACGTCAATTTGAGCACGACAAAGTTTCCGACAAGTGGGTCAATGATTTTGTCGCCCGTCACAGCTCACAGATTGGCTGGCGCAGTAGCAGCGTGTTGGAAACACTTCGAGTGGCTGCTTTGAGTGAAAAGAAGCTCGGCAGTTTGTTCGCGCTACTGGCGGAGTACAGCAATCTTTACCCGACTCTTTTCGCTACGCCGGCCAATATTTTCAACATGGACGAGTCGGATTGCTCTGTGGGTCGTAAAAAGAAGCGTGCCCTGGCTGCTGTTGGTGTCAAGCGTGTCAGTCGGCGATCTGGCCGAACCATTACGATGGGACCGCATGTTACTGGTCTGTTTACTGTTTGTGCTGATGGCACCGCTCCTGTTGCGCCCCACTTCATTGTCGCGCATCCACGGCCCACTCTACCTCACAGGTGCACCGAGGGCCTGGACGAGGAGTTGATTCACCAGTCCGAGTCCGGCTTCATCAACGAGGAAATCTTCGACAAGTGGTTTCGAGATTTCGTCGAGGTCGTCAAGGAGCGAGCTACCACCACCCCCGTTCTATTGGTGATGGATGGCAGCTCGTGTCACAAGTTCACTGTCGGGTTGATTGACCTCGCGGTGAGCAACAACATCCTGGTTGCGATCCTTCCATCGCACACGTCGACTCACTTGCAGCCGCTCGACGTCACCGTCTTTGCCTGGTACAAGAACTTGCTCGAGACTCACGTGCAGTCGATTTTGGATGAAGACTCGCCACTCATCGACGTGAACATCAAGCTTCACGGGGCCATTCGGGCGTGGAACGAAATTGACGACCGATCCAACTTGATCCGATCTGGGTTTCGCCAAACTGGTATCTATCCGCTGGACACGGAAAAGCACAAGACCCTAGCGTTGCCTTCCGTCGCTGACGTTGCCGTGTCTACGACCCCCTCGCTGCACATTCCCGAGCCACCCCCGACCCCGGATGCTCGGTATTCGGCGTTGTACCGTGTCCGTCAGATTGCCGATGCCGCCCTGGTAACCATTGGTTGCACTCCGAGAGCTCTACAGCAAAAGAGGGTGCACGATGCAGCGGTAGCTGATTTGCGTCGAAATCTCGAGGTCGAACTTTCGGTGCAAGAAGTCCTTCGGGCCCCACCCAGGCCCCTGCGGTCCAGGAGCATTGGCAACAGCTCCATGCGCGTTTCTATGAACTCGACCGCTCGATCCCCGCTTACGCCGGAGAATAGGGATGCCCAGCTTAAGCGGCAGGAGTTGCAAGAGAAGAGGAAGCAGCTCGAACCTCTGAAAGAAGAGTACAATCGGCAACGGCCCATCTTCCTCCGCACGCTAAAAGACCTTGACTCACGCATCTTGACACTTGCGGAGACAATTCTTGCTCTGGAGACTCAGCTGGCTGCTCTGGGAGAAGAGGTCGAGCAGGACATCGAATCGGCAACTGCCGCGGAGACCCGAAACAAGCTAGCTGCTGCTCGCCTGCAGCATACCAAGCTCGTACGTGACCGCGCGACATTTTTCAAGAACCGTCTCAAGCGACCCACTCTTCTAAGTCTTGAGCCAGCGGCGACCGCTTCCACACCTCTCGTTCCTCGGCGCGTCAGCAGGCCTAGGCCCATTCTCGCTTCGCAATCGATGGCGAACGACACTGTCGACTTGGATCAATCAGCCAGCGAGGAGGAAAGCGAGTCTGACGACGATGACGACGAGAATCAAGCGTCGTCCTCAATGGCTTCCGCTGCCATCGGCCACAACGACAACCAGGAGGACCCCAGCGATGTCCAGCGTCAACCTCAAGCCGCCCGCAAGCGTCGCTAGGAAGATGACGATGAAAACGTCGCGCCCGTCTTCACCACGGTCACATCAGACTCGAGCGATGTTGTTCAAGTCGATTATCAGCTGAGCTCCACCGAACTCCAAGAAATCCGACGCTATCGCATGCCAACGCGTAGTACTACGAAGCAAGATGGACATAATGTCAAATTGGCGCGTGTAGACCTCCAACCTGCGTCGTCAAGGCCGGCGCTCAGCGACCTGACAAACCTTTCTCGAAGCAACACGCTACCACTGTAATTTTCCGTGTTTTGTGTTCAATTCTATGTGCATCCCATGTCATTCAATGTAGTTATGTGTTTTTTCCGGTCAAAAAGGGTGAAATCATGTCTAGGCAGGGGAAGATTGGACCATGCCCGTCCGGCGCGGGCGGTCTGGCACCTGCCGGGTTCTGTGGTCACATACAGTAACCGTCGCACCAACTGCAATACATAGATACCAGTTGGTATTACATGTCCCAGTTGAAGATGGGCCGACAGATCCTCGACACGGGCGACACGGGACTGGCAAAGTCAGTTTCTCCCTAAAAAGACTCAGCCCTAATGCACGCCCAGCCAAATCGAAGCGAAAATTTTCCCCTCCGATTCGCACCAAAATTACCAAATCAACTATATAATTTATGCTCTTTCCAATGATATAGGTGGCAGGGCGAGGAAATGAACAGGGGGGACTGAGTCTTTTTAGGGAGGCCCTCTCTACATGTTGCTTCAGTGAAAAAAAAAAAAAAAAAACCACGCCTCCTGCCATCCCGTTTTGTCGCCAAAATGATCTTGTTTGGATGGCGAAAGAGTACTACTTGGATCGCACATCCTTGTCCGTCCCAGAGTCGACATGGTACAACATACTCTTTTAATTGTAGCGGTCTTGTTCTGTGGTCGAGCATCGGCTTTGCGTGAGCTCGAGTGCTGGAGAAGCAAAATCCCAATCGCTCACTCGAATCAAAGGAAAAGATCAATGTTTGGACCAAACGGTCGGGGTTCGATCCGACTGCCAAATGCTCGTGAGACTATAAGACGTTGAGTCAAACAAGAAGTGAAGGCAGACGGCAAAGAAGGAGGGACGGAGCAAAAAAGGGGTGGACGCGAATTTCCTTTTGTTTCATTTGATTTTTGCTTCTGAAAAGTGACGTGTGCTCCTGACGCGGCTTTCGGTCACGAACGAGTTGCAATCGCAATAGTAAATACAAGAACAGATTGAAGGGGAAGTGTCGCAGATCGTAACATCATTTGGGAGGGTGCACCATACTCCTTCATGGCAACGAGCGTTTCACCCTTCAACGCAATCTGATAAAACTCCTGCCTGTCGATTACTGAAGAGAAGGCTCAAAGTCCCAACTGCACTGCACCACTCCAGCAGTGCAGAGCAGAACACGGTCACTATTGGCAAAGGTGAAAAGGCCTTAACAACAAGACAACAAGACAACCAGTCGTCAGTCAGTCGTCGTTTGTTTCTTGCCCCCCTTTTGTGGAACACTTCGAGTCCGATGTCGCTTGCATCAGCGGTCAATGCCGTGCGAGGCTCGGAACGATACGTGCTGGGTGGTTTCCTGGTGATCCTGCTTGGTCTGCTGCTGCTCTCAACCCGCAATGTGTGAGTAGCAACTGATTGTGTGAGAAGGGGCGTGAAGTTACTCGTGGCGATGAAAACTGATTTTTTTTTTTTTTTTTTTTTTTTTTTGCTTCGGTCTCCCTGTTGCTCCCTAACCCCAACCCCCCACTAACCACCCGCTCCCGCTTTCCTCCTCTCGCCTCATCCTCCACTCAATATGATGTGCTGGGTTCGTGGGGGGATCATCTCGCCTTCCCTGTTGACTGTGCCGGTGCCACATTTGCCACGTTTTTCATTCTCACCACAGTGCTCCCGCGCCGCCTTCCACTTCTTCGACCGGCGAGTGCCCTCCTGGGAGCAGCCGCCTTCTTGCCGCCGCGCCCGCTTCACTGGCGGCTGAAGCTGCAGCTGCTGCTCCAATGCAGAGACTGACGCCGAATGCTGCCCTCATCGCGACAATGAACGAGCACGTTCACAATGATGACTTGCTGCTCGAGGATGGCATGATCCAGACCTCGTTCTCCAACAAGGGCGGGCTCCAGTGCGTGCCCTCGCCGACGACCTCGCAGTTCAAGTGGGAAGCGCCCATCGGCACGTTGAAGATCTACGTGTACAAGGAAATGATGAAGGTCATGGAGCCGCACAAGTGCCTGCAAACAGTCACACCAATGTGGCTCGAAGAGGTGGAGCTGCCGTCATGGGTCGTCAAGTCCATCCACTACACCAACAACCCAGACGAAGCTCACATGTTTTTCATCCCGGCCATGGTGCGTTGCATACTCGACTTCAACCGCACGCAGTTTCATCTGACGAGCGAGTTTACCGAAATGGTCGACGTCCTCCACACCAAGCACGACTACTATCGGCGCAATCACGGTCACGATCACTTTATCATCAATCCGGGCGGTGGTTCCATGAACGTGATCAGTTCGCTCCTCGCGGGAGAATTGCATCCCGTGGCAGCCAACGATTGGTACTCGAACGCGACCAAGCTCCTGTCAGAAGCCGCTCGCTCACGCGCCTACTTTTCAGGCTTGGACTTTGTCATCCCGGGCAGTGCCGACTACATTTTCGGAAAGTTTATGGATGTGAGTCAAAAAATCGAGGAAGAGCGGCCCATGCTCTTCCTGTATCTTGGCGGCACATCGTTGGGCGATCAACGCCAGGCGTTGGGTCGCTTACGAAAGCTTGTGCAAGGCGACTCGGAGCAGGCCGCGTTCTTCCGGGACAAGGTGCTCATTGCCAACAAGATCGACGACCCTGTGCCCGAGCTCTACTCGTTGCGGATTCAGAACTTTACCTTTTGCGCCGCACCACACGGAACCTCGCCTTGGACGCAGCGCTTTTACGACTCGCTCATTTCAGGATGCATTCCGGTGCAGTTTGACCGTCGATTCCGCTTTGGCTTTTACGACCACATTGACTGGGATTCGATTGTGGTTCGCTATCCCACCTCGCAGCTCGACTCGTTCTCCTTCCTCGAGTATCTCTATAAGCTCAGCCTGGATGAGGATTTCATTCGCGAGCGGCGAAGGCAAATCGCCGCGGTTGCCCACTTGTTCTACTACGGCGAATCTTCCAAGGCGCTTCAAACCACGGCTGCTGCACTCTCCGACCCAGATCCAGTCGTCCGACGGGAAGCGTATCACCTCAATGCCTACAGCATGACTATTCGAGAGCTTGCAGATCGCTATTGCACGTTGCGAATGGACGGCCACGTTCAGTAGTTATGGTTGCTGGGAATGTGTGCTTTTGTGTGTGTGCGTATACTGTACTGTATGCCTATGTGGCTCGCTGAATTTTCTGAATACACGCCCATAGTATTGCTGAGTAATTCACTTGCATTCTTGCTTTTGATCTGCAGCTTGCGCTGACTTTCAGACTGCTACCTTTTTAAAAAAACAGCCCAATATCACTTTATGCAGGGTTAGAACCTCCCTGCTTCTGGCACTTCGGCTCAACCAGACTACGTGGTGGCCCCCCAATACAAGTCTAAAATCGAAAAAACTGAAAAAAAAAAAAAAAAAAAAAAAAAAAAAAAAAAAAAAAAAAAAAAAAAAAAAAAAAGTTCTCAGGTCCAAAAATAGTGCTAGAGGTGGGGAGTTCGGTCGGTGACATTCGAACCCACGACATTTCCAATGCGTGTACCCATTTCACTGGGAATTGGCCTCTACGCGACTCAGTCGCCGATGGGCAACAGCGCACTCGAACCGTGAACAGCGGAATCGGGTTTGGCTCATATCGGTTCTGGTCCCCACGGCGGTGTGAGTGAGGAACAGAATGGTTTTTATCGGTCAATGAGCCATGGCAGGCCCATATCAGAACAAACGGCGTGTATTTCTGGCCATCGACAAAAACTTGAGGGGAAAATCTGCAAACAAATGAGACGAACGGTTTCTCCAAACTCATTGCCGGAGTCAAAAACGCTCGATGCAAATCAACCCAAAAGGGCAGCGTCAAAGCTGCGAGCACTTGAAGGGAAGGCGCGAAAAAATGCAAAGGTCCGGAGCAAACGAGAACAACAAACACAACAACTGCATGCAGTTCGGAGGCGCAGACGGCAATTTGACAGACGGTACGGCGCACAGCAAAGAATCAGGGCAAAACAAAAAAGCAGACAAAAATCATGAGCAACAAGCGCAGAGGCGGGGGGGGGAGAAGAGGTGAGAGTGCTCGTGTGGGTTTTGTGAATGGGGGCGGATCTTGTGTCGTTTCCTGGCAGGCGCGGAAAGCGGAGCGATTCGGAGCCAAGGGTCGAGCAGAGTGTCGTAACCGATCACTCGGGTTGAAGGCGATGGCAAAAGCGAGAAAGACACCGCACAAAGCAGCAACAGAAAAGGAGAAGAAAAAAAAAAGCAAAGACGACATGAAAAACAAACACGCCATGCAACGTCGAGCAATCAAGCAGTCATGCAGTGGAGCAGTCACGCAATCAAGCATTTCAAGCATGCAGACATTTCAACCATTCAAGCATCTCAGCATTCAAGCACCCAAGCACCAAAAAAAAAAAAAAATCAACCTCCAGACACGTTCTGTTCAATTCCTTCAGTTCATTTTCTTCATCCCCCTCCCCCTTTGGTCTCAACAGCGGCAGCAGATCATGCAGGATGTCATTTTCAGTGGCATCAAAATTCCCCACCAGCGCAAAGAGAAGACGCAAACCCGAGCAATGGAGTCACATACCTGACACGCGGGAAACGGGACGAACGGCTTCACTTGGACGGTGCGGAACCTCCAGCTGGTGGGGCTCCAGCGCCAGGGGCTTGTTGCTGCTGCGCATAATAAGCAGACCAATCGTAGTTGGCAGGGTAGCCAGCATACGCCTGAGCCTGAGCGTAGTAAGCGGACCAGTCGTAGTTCTGGTAGCCAGGGTACTGCTGTCCGTAGGCTCCAGCAGCGCCACCTGGTGCTGATGAGCCGCCACTGCCACCGCTTCCAAAAGACAACGAAAAGAAAGTGAGACAGGCATGGACATGCAAACCAAACATCCCGTCCCAACACACCAGCTCGAATCCATTCTCAAACCACCACTCGTTCTTACCGCTCGCTCTGGAGGCTGTTGATGCGCTCGCGAAGCATGTTCTGCGCAGCTTCGACAGCAGCAGCTTCACCGGAAACATTAAAGAACTTTTCAACCGCGTTGGGAGGGGCATCCTTGTTCAGCTGGATACGGGCTCCAGTCGCCTGCTCCATGTACTTGACATTCTCACCGCTCTTGCCGATGACGAGGCCGGTGATGCGGGCGGGCACAGCGACCTGAATGTTCGTGTGGCCACTGCGTGCAGAGTAGCCACCAGAACCGCTGCCAGAAAACGAGGCAGATCCAAAGCTGCCAGAGCCGCCACCACCGGAGTACTCGACCCGGGAGCCAGGGCGCCTGTTGCGCGCTTCTTCAATGATGACCTGGATTGCAGCTTCGGCGCGGCGTGTTGCGCTTTCCTCGCCAGTCACCTGCAAAGTGCGGATGGCAGCACCGTCGTCGCCAGAGCGGAACTGAATACGCGTGCCAGTATCGTGCTGCAATCGCTTGATCGTATCACCACGCTCACCGAGCACGGCACCAGTGAATTCTCGGGGCACTTGCACATCGAGTGTGGTGCCGCCGACAGCGGCCGAGCCGCCGAAACCAGCGCCGGCCTGGTCAAGAGGTCGGATGGCCTCTTCGACGAGAAGCTTGGCCGCCTCGATGACGGTTTGAGTGCCGGTAATGTGGAGCGGCTTCTCGGTGGCATCGCGTGGCAGACCGTGCTGAATCATCTGCAGACGGGCGCCGGTGCGCGCCTCAATCTCACGGATCTTGTCACCAGAGCGGCCAATCACAAGACCAACACGAGATGTAGGAATCATCATGATGAAGGGCTCTGCGCCGCCGCCAGAAACGGGCATTGTGTTTGCGCCAGTCGCCCAAGGAGCAGCGCCACCATGGGAACCACCATGGGGACCGCCATGGGAGCCACCGTGTCCAGCGCCATGGGCGCTCGCAACACGCTAATGGTGCAACGTTTGAATCAAGTTGAGAAGGGTGAGCGTTAACACGAGAGGAGCCAAACACAACAACGAACGTAAAAAAGCAAGGGAAAAAAAAAAAAAAGAAGACAGAAAAAAGAAAAAAAAAAGAAAAAAAAAAAAAGAGGGGCAAGCAGATGGTGACCCTGTAACGCTCTTGACTTACGTCGTCCTTGAAGATAATCTCGCGAATCATCGACTTGGCGAGCTCGATGCCCTCTGCAGGACCAGAGATGGTGACAACACGATCGTTGGAGCCGCCGTCCTGCGCGCACTGGACACGAACACCTGTCTGGGACTCGATGCGACGGATGGTCTCGCCCTGTCGTCCAATGATCAGGCCAATCGTGTGGCTGGGCACTGAGAATGCATCGGTGGCCGGTGCGGACTGGCCTGGCTGCGGGTAGTCGCTCACCGGGTCGGTCAACGCAGCACGCTTGCTCGCGCCGTTAGCGTCGCCACCGTCCTGGCCTGCGCCCTCGGACTCCTCGTGCGATCGCTTGAACATGCTTGGCTCCGAGCTGGGCGGCGCGGCGTACGCTGCTGAAGATCAAAAACCATAGAAGAGGGGGGAACGAAAACCATTGAGCTAAAACCATTGAAAACGCATTGGAAAAAAAAAAAAAAAAAAAAAAAAAAAAAAGATGGACATCGCTTCAAAACGCATTGTCGCTTTGAACTGGATGCGAAACCACACTCGGTCAGAGGAACAGCTGCTCCGACCAGATCAAGTGACGAGCGGTGTGTTGGGTGTGCGGAAGAGCGCCCCACGATGATGCGAGGGGGAGACGACGACGAACGACGCGAGACGGGACAACGATGCACGCTTTTTACCATCGGAAGGAGCAGCGCCTGCACCGGGTGCGCCGAGCTTGGCAGCGAGATCGCGAGCACGACGCATGGCTTCCTCGAAGACGGCGGCGCCAGAGCTGGCAGGCGGCGGAACGGCGTTGAAGTCAGACATTGAGAACAGGTGCAAAGCAAAGCAAAACCAAGAAGACTGTACAAAGCCGAGCCAAACTCAACACAAAGCGAGATTCGACAAAGGCATGCAACATCCATCATGCTGCAGAACAAACGCAAACAGAACTTGGTGGTGAATGGATTTGGGAAGATTCAGTCGTCGTAGTCCGTAAAAAATAAGACCCCACCACATTGACAAGAATGGCCGACACGGTAGGTCAGCCGAGCGGTCGTCAGCCCAGCAGTAGTCAGCCCAGTCACAGTACAAGCAGTCATAGTCATCTTAATAGCAGCTCGGCTCCCGAGATGGTGCCACCACGGCTGGCCGCAGTGCCAGAGCACCTGGTGTCCAGGCGAAGCCCGTTCCTCGTGCGATTACCGCTCTATATCGGCGCCGCAGTCGCCGGTGTCTTCCTGGGTCAGTACATTGCACAACGGCTGAAGGACGATCTGAAAGAGCGGCGCGCGCAGCTGCTGGCCGAGGCAGTCGAGGCGGAACGCGAAGCCAAGCGACTGCTGAGACAGGCCGCTACAGCCCAACAGCAGCAGCAGCAGCAGCAGCAGCAACAACAAATCGCCAGCAACAAGCCATAGTAGCACACTTTGCAAGCACAAACGAAATGCTGGCATGCTCCAAGTTTTGCGTTGTGCTTGAATCTCGAGATCGTGGTGTTTCTGTGCTGTTGGTTGCTTTTGTCTGTTTTTGTCAAATTGAATCGTTGTGCTGTTCTTTGGGAAATACTACTCAGTAATATCCTTCAACGAGTCAGCCATGGATTGTGCAACAAGAGTATGGCATGGTCGAAACGAGCAGTGATTGGTACACGACGCAACCATCCATCTCAAACCCAAACGAAATCAAAGTGAATCCAAGTCATCTCCTTCCCAAATACAGGCAGGATTGACATGTCAAAGGTATCAAGTTGAAGGATGTATCTAAAGGAGATGCGAACTGTACCCGCTGTACAAACGATAAATGAACAAGCGAACTAGCAAAAACGATCAAAACGAACCAATACATGACGAACGGAAGAACAATACTGTAGCGCAAAGCCGACGGTGGTGAGAACTCGGGCTTTGACAAGAGATTAACATGTTGACACCTGGAACTATTGCGTAGGAGAACTTTGGTTGCTGTCGACAGAGCGCACTGCGAGATCGCGTTCTGCCCAGTCCAACCAGGACATGTCAATCGCAATCGAAGGCGGCGGCAGCGGCACCGGCGACTGGCACACTAGAGTGGGCGAGTGGCATGCAGAGACGACGAAGGTAGCACGTTGCGCAAGCTGGCAGGCCAGATTCTTCGGATGAGGAGCAGGCAAAATCGGGAGAGGAGCAGATTCGGCAGGTGGTGAAAGCCAGCTCGAAATGTTCTCACAGTCATCGTCTTGACCGCTCAATCCTAAAAGCCGAACAAAAGGACGGGGATGCAAAGGCGCTTCGAGATTGGTATTGCGCCAGTCATCGACAACGCTGCAGCTGCTGTCAGAGTCGGAGATCGGAGATGGCTCTGCCAAAGTGCTCGAGCTATCAGACGCGAGTGAAAGCGCAGCGCTGGTCGTGCTGCTGAACGTGCTGCTGTTGCTTGAACTGATTGGCAAGATCGGTGGTTCGCAAGCTTTGGACCCGGGAAAGAGGGAAGACGCGTCAGTAACATCGAGTGGAAACATTTCATGATCCGCATGCAAAGTTTCATGTGCAAGGAATGAGCGTGGAAGGCAGCTTTCTGCCACCTGCTGCGCTTGGCGACGGCCAGCCGCGGTCAGTCGATTGTTGTACAAGAGACGAGGCTTTCGGACTTTGGTCGCTCGAGCAGGCTTGTTTGTGTTGAGCTGCAGAAGTTCTCGTTTCTGCGCTTCCATCTCAAATGTGACGCGCTCGTCGCTCGAGAGCTGTTTCCAGAGTTTCCCAAGCTCGATGCTGGACGCTCGGCTGGGGAGATGACTGTATCGGTGTTTATTCATTGTGCGAAACACAATAAATCCGTTGGGTCCTCGTCGCTTGGTTGTGGTGGTCTCCTGCGTTGGCTCTGACACGGGTGTTGGGCTTTGTGGCTTGGCTGCAATCCGACGCAGAACAACAAGAGGCTTTTGGCTTGGTTGATTTGGTTGAGTGGTTGTCAGCTTGCAAGCCAGCGACATTTGTCGCAGCTGCTCTTCGGTCGTTGGGCTCATTGAGAAATTCGCAGCGATTCGAGCTAAGACAGGCCCATTGGCTGACATTGCGAGGTGCTCCGAGCCGGGCACTGCTGGGCCAGAAATGCTGCCCATGTGGCCGAAAGCCTGATGATTCATTGAATCTGTCGCTGGCAACCATTGATGTGACGGGATGAGACGTGCATGCAGAAATGATTTCAGGTTTCAGGTTTGGTTTGAGGTAGAACGGATAGTCGTTTTCTCTCACTCTCCCCCGTCAGTCGACATTTCGCTCCCGTCCACAGCATCCAGGCGAGGTAGGAATCATGCCAAAAGATGCGGCCATTTGAGTGCAAGTCCCTTGGCCTCGGCCACGTCGGGTGGGAGCTAGCACCTCCCGCTCAAATCATGACATCGTGAAATTGAAACGGAAAATAAAAGCACGAATCTCGTTTTACTCGCTTTTAACTGCGATCAGAGGCGAGGGGAAGGGAAATGGGGGACAGAGGACAGAGAGAGAGAGGGAGAGAGAAGCCGGTGGAGGGAGTGGTCGCAACGCTCGACGATGGGGTAGGCTGCAAGTGTCCGGTGTGGTCGAGGTGATTGCACAGCCGCACCAACGCACACCGTTCTCCGCTTATTGCGCGAAAGAGCCAAAAGCACAGATCTCCCTTAAGAGCCCACAAAATTTGCAATTTCACCGCGGAAGCGGCTCAAAGCAGAGGTTGAGAATGAGGACCATGGTGTGTCGCGTCTTAGCTGCAGTGTAGATCTAGTTCATGGTTGAAAGCATGAAACTGGACTACAAGTACACATCTCTTCAAAAAAAACCGCCTTGAAAATGAAAAATTCACCGATCTCCCACAGGAGCACGCACGCTGTGTGTACGCTGTGTGTTGACACTCAGGCGTGGATTAATGCAGCGCTGCAAGTGGGGTGCTCATACTTGCGGCAAAGGTGACAACCACTCTCGACTGTGGAGGCGTCGCCGTCAACGGGACCCAGTTTTGAAAACAAGATTCTCGAAAGAAGCCGGATAACCAAGAAAGTCATCCACTATCCACCGGCAGGAGAGCCTGCATGAAGGGGGTATGGGCCTCGGCATGGTTGTGCCAGGGCCATGTTGTTGAGGTTGATCAAGTGCAAAAATGGACTGCGTTGCTCCCAAACGCGAACAGTGACCCGAAAGCACAAATCTCGACAAAGAAAGTCAAAATCCCAGGAAAAAAAAAACCAGCAACCTCTCTCACCCCAATACAGGGTCGTCCATTGGGGACAAGACATCAAAACTAAAACAGTTCCGGTAGGGTGTGTGACAGCAGCCATCATTGGATGGAAGAGGTCCAAGGAACGACCTTACAGTGGGAACGAACGGTTGGTTTTTGAATTGACGGCGCGTGCTCGAATGCTGATATGTTTTTTTGATGTTGTTTCTAAACTCCCCGGTTATGTCGAATCGGTGAACCGATATGAAAAGGGACAAGAGGTGAGCTGAAGGCTTTCGGTGACTACAGATGCGTGACCCGGTGTGCGTGAATGCTCGTACTTTCCAAGCTTGCTCAACTGCGCGCCGTTCGTTGGCGAGCCAAACCTTTGTTTTTTTTCACACCTCCATTGGGAGCTTTGATTTTTGAAAAAAAAATGAATTTGAAAATTGTAATCCGGTTGTCGCATGTCGTTTGCGTGTCGACACACTACGACAACAAAGGCGACGAACGCGAAGGAGGAGGAGGTGCGGTCAACACGCGCTGTGCACTGCTGCTCGCAGACAGCGCTGCTGAACGCCAAGCTCGCGCAAGTCATCTTAGCACAGCTAAGCGAATTTCGCAATCGCTTTCAACGTTTACCCACTCCCCCTACCCCGCCCTCCTTATCATCCTGAACCGAGACTTAGATTTTTCCCCCCCCCTCCCCACACACGCACACCCTCCCCTCCTTCGCTTCGTTTTGTTGGTCACGGTCGGTCGCCTTTGAACTTTACCTCTGTTAGACTGATTCAAAAGCAAAAACAAACTGTCAACAATAACATCTTCATTCATCAGAGAAACAAAAACTCATTCTCCAGCCGAGAGAAATCACACACGCGCGATTGAGCATCATCAGCAGACAGCATGATGACGGAATCATTGAATTGCAGGTCAGAGATGGAAGGGCCAGACTCAATCAGTATGTAAAGGGGCGTGAATGTCGCAAAGTCCCAGACGCGCAAACTACCATTCCAGTCTCCTGACACGATCCGATCTCGATTGAACTGAAGACAGCTAATGGGACGCGAGTGGCCTTTGAGAGTCGACAGGCATGAGCTGTCTGATCTCCGCCAGACGCGGATGGTCTTGTCCATCGATCCAGAAACCACATTTTCCTCGTCCATCTGGAGGCACAACACTTCATCCAAGTGGCCCACCATTGTCGAGTGTAAACTTGCTGATGAGTAGTCGGACGAGAGCGTGTAGATTTGAATCAGCTCAGCTGACAAGCGAAAGAGAGAAACAAAAGCATTGTCAGTTATTTTGTCGCGAGTTGCAAACGAAAATTAAAAAAAAATATTGTAACAAAAATAGCCAAAGAACACGTACTGTGATGAGTCGCCAGTGAGTGTCCCAACAGATAGACTGCGTTGACAGGAGCCTCGAGATTGAGATTGCACAGCATTTGGCCTTCCGTATTCCACACCTGTTGATGCAACAAGAACGTCAGAACGATCGTTGACCAAAATGGCCATGTTTGACAAGGAGATGAACAAACCTTGACAGTTTGATCCCAGGATCCGGAACAAAAGATGCCATCGTTTCCAAATCGGACACAAGCAACCATGGAGGTGTGCGCCTCGAGAACGTGCAGACAGCTTGCAGAAGCGATGGACCATATCCGCAACGTGTTGTCTTCGCTGCCAGTGACCAGCACGTCGCCAACAAATCGAAGACTTCGGATACTCATTGTGTGCTGTCAGAAAGTGGGACGGGGGGAACAACGAAGGTGAGTGCATTGCAACCTCTGGAAATTCACAACTGAGAATGCGCCTCGATCGAAAATAGAAAAAGAAAAAAAAAACGATATAAAATCAATGTTTTGAGAGTAGCACAACGCAGTGAATGGGCGAAGAGTCACAATTTCTGAGGTTTTTTTTCCCTTTTGTTGATTTTTTGCCTTTTTTGCCGTTGTTGCCTTTTTTGTTTTTTTTTTGCTCCTATTTCTTGCAATCGCTGCTCGTGTTCGTGTCCGGTTGAATCAACCAACTCAAACTCGACACTGCGAGCGGCGAGGCCAGAGAGCAAGCGAGGAGCGAGAAAACGCAACCCAAACAATAAACGAAAAGAAAAGAAAAAAAGAAGAAAAGAAAAAAAAAAGGCGCCGACCCAAAAAATCCAAAATAACACAATAGAAAACAAATAATAGCAATCAAGGTCCCCGCGCGAAGGACGTACGCCTTTGAACGTCGGGAGGGCTTGACCTCTGGGGAGCTTGGCAACGATGACGTCGCCAGTGTCATAGCCGGAGATGACCTGGTCGAGGTCGAAGCTGATCGTGAAGGGGTTGGAAGAAACCGGAAAGGTGAACAGGTTGAACTCGCCGCGGCGCCAGCGCTGGTGTGTCTGCCACCGCCGCCGCATGGTTGTGCGCCAGGGCTCCACACGGCCGAGCTTGGCAACCGCGCGGTCCCGCCAGATGAGCGGCCGGTCGAAGGCGACGCACAGACTCCGCCAGAGCTGGTTGTCCTCAGCCAAGTCCTTCCACTGGCGGCTCACACAGGCGCAGTGCAGCAGCGATTGCAGGTCGCTCTCGCCCACCAGCCGCAGCACCAGCAGGCCGAGCTCGCGCGGCAGCAGCTGCAGAAAGTCCACCCGCATCACTGCCGCGTCAGACTCGTCTGCGGGCTGTTCGTTGGGCTCTGCTGCTGGTGCTGCTGGTGCTGGAGTGTCATCACTCGGCACCCTGTCGCTGTCGTTGGCACCGCTATTGCTTCTGCTATTATTGCTGCTACTGCTACTGCTGCTGCTGCTGCTATTGTTGTTGTTGTTGATGATGCTGCTGCTGCTGCTGCTGTTACTGTTCTTGCTGCTGTTGCTCACGCTCGGTTGAATGTCTTCTGCAACCAAATCCATTGTTCCGCTTCCAAAAAAAAAAAAAAAAAAAAAAAAAATCTTAAAAGAAAGTGTCAAAAACCAAAAAACGAAAAAAAAAATGACTAAGAAAAAGAAGAAGAGGATGAAAAAGTGCAATACTGTATTACAAGTGAGAACATGAACTGCACGACGAATCATCAGAACAGTATTGAATGTCCATTGACTTTCTGAGACACCCAGACTGTTGTTTTTGGCAGAATCCAATCCAGCTGACTCATAAAACTGGCCTCCGCTTCTTCGAGCAAGCTGTTTTCATGCAGTGTTGCTCATACGGGTGAACACAACCAACAAAACGAAAGCTCGTGTCCCCTTTTATCTCGGTTTGGTGCTGTCTGAGCCGATCAGCATCATAGCGGCTCAGACCGTTCACTTTGGGCTCAGTCCACAAGTCTCAGTGATGCCAGTGAGCAAGCCGCTGACGCTGACGGCACGGGCTGAGGCGACCATTGCGCCGGCCACTGCAAAGCATCTCCAAGTGTACATGAATATGAGCGACATGGAGCTGCTGGGCGTCTGCAAGGGCGAGTGGGTCGTGCTCTATCGCCAGCAGCAAGATTCCCGAGAACCGACCGCGTCGCTACCGTCGACACATCCGCCGCCAGCAGACAGCTGGATGGGGCATGCTGCTGTGGGCATTGCTCTCCCGCACCCGGCGCTGGCCTCGGGCGACGCGGTGGCCGCCGGTCTCGTGCGTTTCAACTGCGCCACGCGTGTCGGCCAGTCCTTCCTCGTGCAGGCCGCGAGCACCTCCGCAGCGTGGACAGCCGGTGGTACGAATCGTGGCGGTGGTGGTACTGGCGGCGTCCACACTGCGCAGTCGGTGGGTGTCGAGCTTGCACTCTTCGTTCCGGCCAGTCCCAAGCCGAGTGGAAACGGACACCTGGCACCCCCGCCCGCGTTCTCGGCTGCAGATGTCACGAAACTGCTGGCTGCAATTCGGTACGATTTGGAAGGCCAAGTGATTGTGCTCGGCAATGCAGCGCGCGTATCCTTTTTGGGCCGGTCTATCCAGTATCGCATTCGCTCCATTGATGAGCATGCATGGGATCCCACCTCAGTTCAACCGAGTGAATCGTTAACACAGCATTCAACACCAAGCAATGGCGCAGTTCCCTTCAGCCAGCTCGGCCTCTATTTGGTGAGTCGTGCGACGTCTGTGGTTCGGTGGCAACCATCCACTGGCGCGTCCTCCACACAGTCAGCGTCCGTCGCTCGTCCAGTCACCTACGCTGATGTTGGAGGCCTGCAGTCTCAACTGGCCTCCATTCGCGAAACAATCGAACTGCCACTCCGCCACCCTTGGATTTTTGAGCAAGCGGGAATGCCGGCGCCCCATGGCGCTCTTCTCTATGGTGAGTTTTTGAGTTTCAAGTTTTAGGAGGGCCTTCGGAGGGCTGTCGGAGGTTTGCGTTTCAAGTGGTGGAAAAAAGTGTCGTCTTTTGTGTTGTCGTCGAAGAAGGTTGCCATGAGTGGGTTTTACTCGACCTGACAAACCTTCGTTCTGCTCGCCCTCCTAGGTCCACCCGGTACGGGTAAAACTCTGATTGCGCGTGCTGCTGCAAGCGAGTCCGGTTGCCACGTCATTTGCGTCAATGGACCCGAGCTTGTCAGCAAGTATTTTGGAGAGACGGAAACGAGGCTGCGCAACCTGTTCGCAGAAGCGCACAGACATGCTCCTTGCTTGATTTTTATTGACGAAATTGACGCATTGTGTCCACGGCGAGACGATGCCACCAATGAGACCGAACGGCGGGTTGTAGGCACGCTCCTCACGTTGATGGATGGATTGCATTCGGGTGCATCTGGAAAGAAGCCCACGTCTGCCGCCACGGGCCCAGTTCAGTCCAAGCACATCATGGTCGTGGGTGCAACCAACAGGCCCAATGCTCTTGATCCTGCGCTTCGAAGGCCTGGCCGTTTTGACCGCGAAGTCGAAATCGGCATTCCCACCTCGACAGACCGCATCTCGATTCTACAGGCGTGCTTGCGGCACATGGCACATACTCTCTCTGAGGAGGATGTTGCGTCGATTGCAGCGAGCGCGCATGGTTACGTCGGGGCAGACTTGGCTGCTGTCTGTCGCGAAGCTGGACTTTGTGCGGTACAGCGCCGTCTCCAACACGCAGACCTCGCCGGCGACGCTGCTGTCCAGAGTCCCGAGGCAGCTCATTCCATCCGCGCGGTGACTGTCAGCGACATGCGGTACGCTTTGGGCCAAGTCCGTCCAAGCGCCATGAGAGAGGTTGCGGTGGAAATCCCCAAGGTGCGTTGGAGTGACATTGGCGGCATGCACGACGTCAAGCAACGGCTTGTCGAAGCGGTGCAATGGCCACTGCAGCATCCCGAAATGTTTGCACGCCTCAACCTTTCGCCTCCGCGTGGCATCTTGCTCTACGGCCCGCCAGGTTGCAGCAAAACTCTGATGGCCAAGGCACTGGCCACCGAGTCTGGACTAAATTTCATCGCCATCAAGGGCCCGGAACTGTTCAGCAAGTGGGTCGGCGAGAGCGAGCGCGCCGTTCGCGAAACCTTTCGCAAAGCGCGCGCAGCAGCCCCCTGCGTTGTGTTTTTCGACGAAATTGACGCGCTGGCTGTGGCACGTGGCGGCGATGACGGCGCTGGCGGCGTGAACGATCGAGTGTTGAGTCAGCTCTTGAGCGAATTGGACGGTATCGAAGTTCTCCGGAATGTGACCGTGCTGGCCGCCACCAATCGCCCCGAACTGATTGATTCTGCACTGCTGCGTCCTGGCCGCATTGATCGCATCATGTACGTCGGACCGCCCGATGCCGCCGCTCGGTTGGAGATTCTCAGCAATGCCCTCAGCCGCATGCCCCACCAGCTGGACGGGGCGGCCGTGAATCGGCTCGTGTCCCAGTTAGATGGGTGCAGCGGTGCCGAAGTCGCAGCCGCGTGCAAGGAAGCTGGTCTGTTTGCTCTTGAAGAAAGCCTCGATGCAGCGACGATCGAGGAGCGACACTTCAACGCTGCCGTGCAAAAGGTGCCGAAACGCATCACTCCCGCCATGCTCAAGTTCTACGCAGACTATCAGCAGCAGTCCGTGCTACAGTCCGTGTAGTAGTAGTAGTAGTAGTAGTAGTAGTAGTAGTAGTAGTAGTAGTAGTAGTAGTAGTAGTAGTAGTTTGTTGGATTGCTCTCCGTTGGCTACAAACTCATCAAATCGTTGTAATCTTAACAAATTCCTGTTTTGTTTTTTTATCAACCAAGAAGTAACTTCAATTGTTTAAACCTCATCGACGCATCCGCATTGCCAGCGGTCTCGCACTTTCTCGCATGGGAATATTGGCTTGTTGAGCCTGACGTTGACGTGGTTGTGAATCTCACAAAACCACTGCATGGCTTGGTCGCGCGACCCGACACTTGGTGGATGGGCCTGCACGAGTTTTCGGAACTCGCGCGCGCAATCGCCGCACGGATAGAGCATGCCAAACAAGTGAATGTACGCCACGAACGCGTCTTGCTCGTCCTGGGAGGGCTCCTCTGGGAATCGCGCAGCCATAACGTGGAGGGTTGTCCAGCCAGCGCGGCCAAGCTCGGCTCGCAGTGTCTGGTTGCCCATCGGCGCCATGATCGACGCGTCCTCCTTCCCGTCGTCGTCGTCGCTGTTCCGATTACTATTCCCATTGGTGGTATCGTCACTATTCTGACGGCGCTTGTTGAGGAGAGTGTTCGCGACGGCGGCCCATCCTCGCTGCTCGTCCTGCTGGTCCTCTAGCTGGAGCGGCTTGGAGCGGTAGAGCGCAACGCCAGCTAGCGTCAGCGAGAACACAACAATGACAGCCACGAGCACGTTTCTTCGGTGGATGCGCAGTGCACTCATTTTGATTGCCAATCTCAGAGAATTTTTCAATCTTAGCGTCAAGATCTGAGAAGATATGGCGTTTTTTGGCTTTTGAGGAACTGGGACTGAACTAAAGTCCCTCAGCGTTTCTATTCAACCCCCACATTGCACCATTGACATGCCAAAGCACCAAAGTGCACGATCGAGAGTGCAGTAGGTTATTACCACCCATGGACCAAGCAAGCGTGAAGCGGTGCAGCGGAATCCACCACTCAATCACCCTACCCATCCCCTTCCTCCCCACTCCAACCCTAACTCCCCCTTCCTCCCCCATTGATGTTACTTGTATCTCTTTTTATTCTCGTCGCGTTATCATCTCTTTTGCTCTCACTCTCCATTTTTCCTTGTAGTTGCACTTGCATCACCATGTCCCAGCACATCCTCGTCTATGGCGGCCGCGGCGCGCTCGGCACCGCCATCATCAGCTACTTTAAGCTCCGTGGCTTTGTATGTTGATCCGCTTCACATTTGGCGATTGACTGTTTGCGTCGTCGTCGTCGTCGTCGTCGTCGTCGTCGTCGTCGGTGTCCACCGCTGCTTTGGTCACGGCCATTCGGATTGACTGAAAGCACTCATCACATCTTCATTCTCCATTCATTAGGTCATCACGTCCATCGATCTCTTTGCGAACGACGAAGCCAACCACAACGTGCTGCTCCAGGCGCAGGACAGCTGGGAAGACCAGTCCAACAAGGCAAGCGCTCTTTGTTCTATTGAAGTCAAATCGAAAAGCCAATATAGAAAGAACAGTCAAGCCGAATCGTCAAGCCCACAAAACTCGCTTCTTGCTGTCAAAGATGCTCATTGTTGACACAATGTGGAAAATGTTGGTGATTGCAGATCTCAGCAGCGCTTGCGGAGAAGCTCGGTGAATCCAAGGTCGCCGCCGTGCTCTGCGTCGCCGGTGGATGGGCTGGTGGCAATGCTGCTTCTGCAGGTACAGAGCCAGTGCTAACGCGCTGGAATTGGTGGCCACGAGAGTGTGTTGGCTTGGTCATGTGTAGCGTCATTGAGGCGAAAAGAGAGAGAGAGTAACATTCGCCTCGTTTGTCTGTGCTCTGCTCACTGGCACTGGGACTGCGCACTGCTCGACAGATTTGATCAAGAACGCCGATCTCATGATCAAGCAGAGCGTTTGGTCGTCGGTCATCGCCGCACGCGTCGCTTCGCAATTCCTTGCCCCGTATGATTTTTTTTTCAACGATGCTTTCTGCTCCAGTGCTCTGCTTCTTGCGTCATCTCACTATCCGACGCTGTGCTTGAACTCGCGTTTTGCAGGAACGGCTTGCTTGCTCTGACTGGTGCTCGCGCTGCGCTGAACGGCACTGCTGGTATGTATTGCAAGTTGTTCCAACATCGAGTTCCGAGTGTTTCTAAACCAACCACTTGTGTGCTTGTCCCGTGTGTTTGCTTTCAGGTATGATTGGCTACGGCATTGCCAAGGCTGCTGTTCACCAGCTCACTCGCAGCCTTGCCCAGCCCGGCAGTGGTCTTCCTGAAGGCGCCACCGCTGTCGCCATCCTCCCGTACGTTTTCTATCTGCTACATTGATTTTTTTGCTTTGTGGTGAATTTCTGTCGTGTGTTTGACTTGACTTTATTGTCTTGGCTTGAACTTTCGCTTTGATTTGATCTCTCGCTTCTGTTTATGTTTTTTCTTCTTGTTCTTTTTCTTTCCCCTCCCCCCCCCCTCTTCCTTTCTTTCTTTCTTTCTTTCTTTCTTTGGTACTTGTTGCAAATAGCGTCACTTTGGACACTCCGATGAACCGCAAGTTCATGCCCGATGCCGATTTTTCGTCCTGGACTCCCCTCGATGAGATTTCGTCGTATGTCTGCTTTTTGTCCGCCTTATTTGAGTTTGGCATGTGGCTGATTTCTTCATCTTGGCGCTCACTGTCTGGCACATTGTCTCTTCTCTTCTTTTTTTTCCGTGGTAGGCATTTCCTGGACTGGACGACTGGCAAGCAGCGTCCCTCCAACGGCGCGTTGGTCGAGGTTGTTACGGCTGGGGGCGTTACCACCTTCACCGAGGCTGCTCACTAAACACCTTCTCGGTTGCATGCTTCACTGTCGCATCTCCGACTCGCCACTGAATAAACAATTTTTCGGCTGGTTTCTATTTTTCGTCCTGTTGGTTGATGCTAGCGTGGGTGTTGGGAAGAATTTTGCTGGATACCATGTCACGCTGTGTCAGACCGCGATGGAGCGTGCCAGTGGAATGGAGGGCCGAAGGGTGTTGAAGCCATCACGATGTCAGCGGCGAAAACTGCAACAAACAGCGCCTTCGAGGACCTTGCCACATGCGATTCTCATCAGAATATATCAAATACATTGAATATTGATCCTAGCTCGACTATGACTCATGTAGCATCGCTCTAGAGCATGATGTTTGAATGGTCAAAAATTGCGAAAAATCACGCTTGCAGGGTCGTCTTCGGACAAACACAGTTGCGTGAGCACTTTGACTGAAATTGCCAAACCGAAGGATTAAACCAGCTGCACAAGCCTCCATTTCGTCGATACACACTGAAACAATCACAAGCAACTTGAAATAGGACCAAGAACGGGGACTTTGCCTTGTCAGATCCGACGTCTTGGGGTGACAATCTTTTGAAATTTCGCGCATCGATTCTACCCAAGCCATCCAGCCGAACCGATCCATTATTTGTGCCACGTTGAAGGAAATCACTTTTAAAACAGTACACACGCTGCGCTGCTGACGGAGGATGTGGTTGAAGCGCACAGTACCCCAGCAAATTGACCACTTTGGCCATTTGCGAGAATTAATTGTGTTCAACAAAACGCGAGCTTGAAGTTTGCTCACTGCCCACACAAATCGCAAGTCCTCCGCTGTACAAATGAAACGATGCTTGATGATGATGATGATGATGATGATGATGATGATGATGATGATGACGATGATGATCACTCTGAGTTTTTCAGTCGTATTTTTTTTCCCTTCCAAACGGAACCCACCATTCCGTCCAACTTTCCGCTGCTGCTCCACCGCGGCGTGAACTTGCTCCTGCGCCACTTCACCACCATAGCTCCAGTCCAAAGACCGGCTGCTGTGTCGTCGCTGCTCGGCCTTGTCCCGATCGTCCTTGCTCCAGAGCTCTCCTCGATCTCAGCTCACCGCGTGGGACTAAGCCTCGTTCGCTGCTTTTGGAGCTCAGCCACAAGCGCCGTCGCTCTTCAGGCCCAACAGGTCACTGCTCCCCTCCAGCAGGCAAGCGATCGTGGTTACCGCGTTGGCCCTGTCCGTCTGCTCCAGCCTCAACGCGCCGCTCACTTTTGGCGCAAGTTTCCATCGTTCTCCATCTCTGCATCGTCTCGAGCGTCCGTTGGATTCAAGCACAGGCAGCCGTTGCCGTCGCCTCCCATCATGAACGTGGATCGTAGTAACTTTGCCTCTGTCCTGCCGCTGGTCAAGCAGGCAATCGCCAAGTGCGATTTCGTGGCCATCGACGCCGAGTTCACCGGACTCCACAGCGAGCGGGCGGCGGCTTCCAATCACTTCGATACGCTGGCGGAACGCTACGCCAAAGTGCGGCGATCGGCTTCGCAGTTTGGTGTGCTGCAATACGGCGTGTGCGCCTTCCGCTGGCTGCCCGAGCGCCATACATACGAAGCCCAACCGTTCAACTTTTACGTGTTTCAGCGTCCGGCGACGCGCGAGTCGCCCGATGCGCAGTTCCTGTCCCAGGCTTCGTCGATCGAATTTCTCATTGACAACCACTTTGATTTCACCCGCTCGTTCAAGACTGGCATCACATTTATCAATCGGACCGAAGAAGTGGCGCTCCAAGAGGCATACTTTGACCTGGCCACCAAACAGCACCACTTCCGTCAAGTCGCCATCAAGAATGAGGCTGCTAAAGCCGCCACCGCCGCCGCCGCCACCGCCACCGCCACCGCAGTAGCAGCAGCAACAGCAACAGCATCCTCTCTTAACCAAGACGCCGCAACGCCAATGGTAGAGTCAGCCGCAACGGAAACTCCCGTCCCAGCTGCTCCGCTCTCTCGCGACGAAAAAAACAAAATCCTCCTGCAATCCATCATGGACACTGTTGCAAAGTGGATGGCTGAGCCAGCAGAGCCCACGCTACTTCTTCCAGTTTGCACAAGTTACATGCGGCGCCTAGTGTACCAAGCATTTGAGCAGGTAGTACCTCCAGTACCATCCGAAAATCCTTTCTTGTTGATACTAGTCGTTGGTGTCAATGCTCACGTGTTTTTGAGTTGGAAATGTTCTTGTCCCATTTGTTAGAAATACCCGGTCGGCTTTCTTGTCGAGTCGATCGATCCGACCGACCCTGCACCACCCGGACACAAGGCGATGACCATCACTCGAGGCACGGCCGAGGAGAAGGCTCAACGGCAAGAGGCACGAACGCAAGCGCAGTTGGCTGCGCAACAAGAAATCAAGGCTCTGGCTGACGAAATGATGCACCAGGCCATTGGTTTCCGTCACGTCATTGATTGCATTTCCGAGCACAAAAAGCTTGTCGTGGGACACAACATGTTGCTCGATCTGGCGCACACCTTTGACAAGTTTATTGGTGACCTTCCCGAACAGCTCGACGATTTCAAAAATCAGTTTGCCCAAGTCTTCCCGTATGTGGCAGACACAAAGCATCTTGCGTCCTCTTCCGAGCTCGGAGGGAGGTTTGAGTCTACCGCTCTGGCGGATCTTGTTCGCACGCTCTTGTACGAAAGCGACTCGGCTCCCATCAACGTGGAACTCCCGGATGAGTTCAACGCCTACCCTCTGCAGCCCGTGAGCTCGAGCGCCGCCGCGGCCGGTGCGCAGCCCAACGAGCGGCTGCACGAAGCAGGCTACGACGCTTACATTACTGGTTTGGGATTTGTTGCTCTTGCGCACAAGCTTGCCCATCTGCGGTCGGAGCGTATCGCCCAGAACTCGGCCTTGGGCCCGCTGCTCGGCCATTTGGCGGCCCCCAACAACAACCCCTCAGACTCTGCGACACCACCGAAAGCGTCCCCTCAAGAAACCGACTCGGTTGACATGAATCAGGAGCCGGACACGAGCCGTCCTGCGGCCGCGAATGTGGAACAGTCCATCCTCGAGCAGTCGCGTCCCAAGGGCGGTCTGGCCCTGATTGGACCTTCCACGCCCGCGATGGCGCCGTACATCAACAAGCTTCACGTGATGCGCAGTGACTATCGTTGCTTGGACCTGGCCTCGCCCGATGTGTATATTCCTCGTCCACGCATGCTGTTTGTGCATGGCTTTCCTGACTCTTGGCGCGAGTCCAACGTACGCCAAGTTTTCAACAATGCGCAATTGGGTACGCGCAGCGTCGGCTTGCTGACTCGCACCAGCGCGCTCGTGGCTATCGATGAAGGGGTCAGCATCGAGCGCATCACTGCAGTCGTCGAGGCGACGCGTCAGCACCAGAATGCTCAGCAGCAACGTCGCGCAGCGCTCGATGCTCAAGTTCATTTGCACCCTCCAGGCCTTCTTGGTCCGCCCCCGGCTGGTCTGATGATGGCCGTGGATTCACCTGCTCGCGGATCCCCTGCCGTCGCTCGCCACAATAGCAGCAGCGTGCCTTCGACGCCAACTGGAGCCTCTGCACCTTCCAATGGTGCTGCAGACGCAGCAGCGTCCTCGGATTCCTCAGTGCTTCCCTTTTTTATTCTCACATTTTCGGAATACCAGCAATACAAGCTCAACGCCGAAGCCACCGCCGTTGCAGAGCAACAACAGTTCAAGCTCGAGCAGGAACAGCGCCAAGCCGCCCATTTGCGCAGCTTTTCCCTGGAGCCAGCTTCGTTTATGGCTCCGGCTGCTGCTTCCAGCGGGTCTGGAATCTTTTCCACCCCGCGACCGGCAGGAGTTCGTCGTGCTGCGACCGACGCAGACTCGGCTTCCAAGCGTTTCAAGCAAAGCTGAGCGTTTTGTCGTTTGTACGTGTTTTTTTACTGTTTTCTTTTTTTTTTGTTTCAACAGTCTCGTCATTTGAAAAGTTTTCCAAACTACACCCGAATGAAACCCAATACAACTACTTTGATATTTGTACCATACACTCAAAAATGAAGCGTGCGTGTAATGCGAAGGTCTCAAAGATGCGGTTGGTACGGTATTGCATCACACGCGAAACGTGGCAACAGCAAAGAGGGGTGTCGTATCCGCAATCAGCTGGCACAACAACGACAACGACAACAACAGCAACAACAACGACAGGTACAACAACAACAACAACAACAACAACAACAACAACAACAACAACAACAGCAAAACTTGTAAAGTCAAGAACAACCAGCAAAAAACGCCACTTTTATGGAACGGCTTTCAGCAACAGGTTGTAGCACCGGCAGTTAGTTGGAGCCGTTGTCAGAAGCCTCGCCAATCGATGCAAGGATCTCACGCAGCTCCTGAGCAAGAGCCGTGTAGCAGAAGACGTACTGGCCCTGCGCAGCAAACAAAAGCGAAGGATTTTGAAAACCAAGACGAATATAAGCGGTGAGAATATGCCAGATCACTTCACACACACACACAACACAAGCGGAAACAAGTCGAAAAAAAAAATCACGTACAGACGTCTGGACCACACCGCTGCGCTGAGTTCGCATGTTTTGCAGCAGCTTGAGGGCGTCGATCGGAAGGCCTTGCTCGAACATGACGGTGGCAGCATCAATCAAAATGATGCTTCCAGTACGACCAATGCCAGCACTGTCGATATTCAATCAAGTGAGATTCAATCAAGTAAGAAAGGTGAGACACTGGAAACACAAGTCTGCACAAAAACAAACAAGAAACATAGGCGATTCACCTGCAGTGCACAACTACTGGACCATCCGACTCGTCAGCACGCTCACGAACAAGATGAACAAACTCGAGGGCGGCAGGGATGTTTTGGGGAACATCGTGGTCGGGCCAGGTGAGGAAGTGGAGCTGCTGAACGATGCGGCTTTGCTGGTTGGCCAAGTCCGAAATGACGAGTTCGCGCACAATGTAGTCGGGGAACTCTTGCTCGTATACCAATGTCACCTGGAAGTTGCCAAAGACAGTCGTGTCGCGGAGCTGCTCGTGCCAGTAGACGTTGCACTTGTTCTTGTTGTTTTCCACGGCCAGAGCGCCAGCGACAATCACGTTCGACTTTTGCTCCCACACCATGCGCCAGAAGTCCTCGAGCGTGCCAGCAGTTGGGCCTTGGGTGGCAATATAAGACAGCTTGCGAGCGCCGGCCTGGATGCGAATGTGGCTGGCGTTGATGTAGTCATGACCGTCGGGAGCGGTGGACAGCAGGACGCGGTTGGAGTCGTAAGGGTGAATGTTGCGATAGCGGTTGCGAGGGGCGTTTGACGAGAGCTGGGCAGCTTCGTACGTTTGGCCAATCTCAGTGTCCGTGTTGCGCAGGGTCTCAAACTCCTCCTGGGGTCGCTTCTCATCGATGCTCTTTTCCAGATCGGCAAGGAGTTGGCGAATAACGTGTTCGCGACCAACCAGCGCTTCAAGAGCCCGCTGGCGGTGCGTCTTGGAGCCTGGAGCAAGCGCGGCCGAGGCGTCCAGCTGCTTGAGATGAGCAGCTTTGGACTCGCTGCCGTAGGTGCCAGGCACGGGCGAGGCAGACTTGAAGGCAGCCTTCTCACCAAGCGGCGTGAGCAAAGTGCTGGTCGGGTGGACGTGCTCGTTGCCGTACTGGACCTTACGAGACAGTGTGCTCAGCGGCGAGGCGACAATCTGGGACTTGGAGTTGACAGAGTGCGTCCACTCAACCACACCCGAGCGCACGGCGTAGCTGTACTTGAACGCCGCGGGCAAAGCGGGGTACGAGTTGTTGTCGTCCAGCTCCTTCATGATGGTGCGCACCATGCGGTGGTACTTGTGGGACGCAGTCGCAAACTCGAGGACGAAGCGAGCCTTCTTGAAGCCGGGGAAGTACAGGGCGATGATCGCGTCGGCGGTTTGGATGACAAACTTGCGCTCGTGGAAGCGGAGTTCGACTTGGTCGGCCCATGACCAGGACTCGGTCACGCTACGCAGACCGTTTGACTCGGTGTAGGTGGCGATACCGCGCGTCGACAGGCCAACGAGGCTCTGGCGATCAAAGTGGCGCGACTCAAAGTGGTAAAAGTGCACGCCGTAGTCCTTCTGGTGCTGGGCCTCAAGGAGGTAGCAGAGCTCGGCCTCGTCGGCCGACACACCCGACAGCGCCTCGTGCAGCTGAGGGACGCGCTGTTGCAGGGTCTGGACGGACAGGCGGTTGATGACCGAGTTGTGCAGGTACTCGGGGCTGTGGAAGTACTGGGTGCCGTGCTTGGAGCGGTCGTAGTTGCCCATCTGTGCCTGCAAGCTGTACGCCGCCAGAGACAAGGCGGTCTCGTCACCGACGAGCAGACGGCCCTCCAGCACGTCCTGCTGAACCTGGAGGTAGAGCATGTGGCGGGTGCTCAGGTTGCGAACCAGCAGGTTGTCTTCAAGGTAAAACATGGTCTTGAACGTGACAGTGAACAGCGCCTTGTTGCTGGGCACCAGCTTCCAGAACTTGCGATCAAGCGCAAGGAAGAGCTCGTCCGAGTACTTGTCAACCAGGGCAATGCCAAACAGGTTGGCATCCTGCGGCTCGAGCTTGATGAATGCGACCGCAGCGTCGTACAGCTGCTGACCAATGGTGTCTTTCTGCAAGTAGACGACAGAATAGAGCATGAAAAACAAAACAACAACAACAACCGGCATTAGAGGTCTAGCAGCAGCAGCAGATCCAAACAGACGCAAAAAAAAAAAAAGCGGAAATCGGGTCAACTCACGTTCACAACCACAGTGGTCTCAGTGCTGTTCGCAAACTTGATGGTGCAGTGCTTTTCATTCTTGCCGGCGGTGGCGCCTTGGTCGACCGTTCGGAGCTTGGGGAGCGAAGCCATGGAGTGCTGTTATGAGTGAAGATTGACAAAAACCCAGAACAAAAAAAAAAAAAAGCAAAAGCCGCAGTACAACATGAACAGACCAGTGAGATACAATGCGTGTGAAGCAAAGAAGAGTGAAATCTCGCGAAAGAAGACACGATAGCGGAAGGAGTAAAGAGTAGAGGAAGAGAGAGGAGAGAGAGAAGGGAAAACAAAAAAAAAAAACCAACTAGAAAAAAAAGAGAACGACAGCTAACGAGCTCTTTCCCGCCATCAACTCTGCTTTATCACCGTCCTCTAACCCACCACTCCCAGTAGTGCAGACTGGCGAGAGGGCTACTACACCACGAGCAGGATCTACCCCAAGAGCAAAGGGGGAGCTATTCCTTAGGGAATTCGGCAAAGCGCTTTTTTTTTTTTTTTTTTTTTTTTGCTTTCGAATCTGCTGCGCTCATTGGAAACGATTCTTTGTTGTCGGGTGGTGACGAGTCGCGCTACGGCGTTCACAATGCTACAAACACCAACGACATGCATAGCGGCGTTTGGCAACGACAAGCCCTTGGAGGCGGATGAACGAGAACGAAAGGGGGAAAAAAAAGAAAAAAAAAAAAGGGGCGAAAACACGAAAAATCAATGAAAAAAAGCACGCCCGCCATGAGACTACCACGCTCCATTGGGATCAACAACCAACGGATGGGGTCAGTGGACAGCGCTCGCAGAGCCAAACCAAGTCATATTGTGCCAAGAATGCTTCTCCCAGGTGCGGCGGGGATGAGGTGCGAGTCGGTGAGAGTGGCACCGGGGCAGCAATGCGATGGATGATCAAATTCAAACGAAAAAAAACCAAAAAAAAAAAAACCAAAAAAAAAAAAACCCAAAAAATCAAAAAAAAAAAAAAATCCAAAAACAAAATCGATAGGTTTTTACAATTGAAAAAAAAAAAATAGACTATTCATGAACGGCTGCGTCAGTCGATTGCAACGGAAGCCAAGATGGGAGCCACAGGGGCGTTGGAGACATGATTGAAACCTCGTTGAGCAAGAAGACCTTTCTTTGGGAGCTTGTTTCCCCTCCCTTCGCTCTCCATTGTTGTTAGGTCTTGTCTTTTTATGTTTTGAACCAATATGACAATTCATCGAGACGGTAGTGAAACAGGCAAAGTGAAAAGAGGGCCATCGTTCAGCGCAGTCTCCGTCGCGGCCTGAAATTCTCGCACCGCTCGTCAAGCAGCCTAGACAGTCGATCATAATGTCGAGCAAGATCGATGATGAAGAAGAGAACGTCTTCCTCACGAAATCGATTTCAAGAGTCGTGCAGAGCAGTTTTCGTTTCCCCGTTTATTGATTGTTCGGCTGGCATCAGGACGACGGCAAGTTGACCTGTGTATGCATACACTACATATTTCGATTTGAAAACGTAATTGTGTGGTGCCTTCCGAATTGCTTAGAACCTTTCCTTTTGCGTGGGTTTACCAAATTGATCAGCTCTATATTTGGCATTTCTTCTCCACCCCCGCCTTCTCATTGTTCACCTCCAACTCCTTCATTCAAAAAGTTGCTATTCGACGAAAACCACCAAATGCAGCTCGACGAAAACGAAAATGCTGTGCGACGAAGCACCAATGTCGGAGAAACGGGGGCGAAAACAGAATATGCTCGAAGACGAACGTCAAAATCGAAAACTGACGCTGCCACGCGTCTTGAGCGTGAGCTCCACTGCGTTTCACAAAGCAGTCATGCTCAAACCTGTATCACAGCCTCATTCAATGGCTCTGGAACCGGATCTGACCCGCGGTGTTTGACAGGAGGGAGATAAACAAACAAAATCACAACCCAAAGCCCAAAAAAACAACTCCACTGAATTGGGCATCAAGCACGCCAAAAACGCAAACCAGCGCCGTTCCTTTCACCGCCTCCTTGTCCTTGCTGGACTTTGCCAAGCTCGTGGTCTTCCCCCTTGCTGACTTTGGAACAAGCGTGGTTTCGCTCATACAACCAGCAGCATCAAAAGTCCATCTCATTCTTTTTTTTTTTTTTTTTTTTTTTCTGGTAAACTCGCCTCGCCTTCCCATTCCGCTCACCCATTTTCGTTCCTCGTCTACCCCACTCCACCCCACACCCACCTCGCTGCCTCTCACTCGCCACTATCCATGTACATGTATTTGTGGTGGTAAACGTGACTCCGAGCTCAAGAGTCCAAGAGCGATGAGCGACAGAAGGAACGACAACATCAACAAGAGAAAAAAAAAAAAAACAAAGAAAAAAAAAAAAAAAAAAAGAGCGCTCTTGGCACCACGAGAGCCCACCGTTGCTTGCTTTGGCTTGCGCCCAGGCTTCCGCGGCGCCTGTGCGCGTGCCATGTGGCCACGCTGCAAAACACCGTCTCACTCACACTAAAGCCGTGATGGGGGAGCACGGGGGCGCGCAGCATCCAGAAGGATCAAAGCGATGAATCAATCGTAATCAACTCTTTTTTTTTTTTTTTTTTTGAGCTTGTGAAAACGAAACGCGTTCTCATCTTCTCTCTGCCACCAGCGGCGGCTGCCAGTGTCGCTTCATGTATCACATCTTCCGCTTTTACAGCTGCTACTTCTCTCCCCCCGCTCTCTCTCCAACGCTGTCATCAAACGAGCGAAGAGCGGGTTTCTTTTTTGTTTTAAAAATGATTTTTTTCCCGCGAAATCTTTTTTCGTTTTTTTTTTACCCATTTTTTTTTCAGTTTGTTGTTTGACCATTTTGTCTTCTTCCTCGAGTGCTGGTTTCTCTTTCACACGATGACCATGCGTGATGCTTGCTCAACACTCCCACTCTGCGCAGCAACCACCGCTTTTCGGCTCGCTCGCTTCGTTGGTGGCCTGCGGGTGGACATTCCTCTCGTTATTTTTTCGTTCATGTTCTTTTTGGTGATTTTTTTTTTTTTTTTTTTGGAGCGCGGCTCGCTGCTGGGCCCCCTCCGCCAACACCCCCTTCGTCTTCCTGCCTGGGTCGTAGTCGGTGCTTGTATATCGTCATGGATGTTGGCTGTGCGAGTCCCGCTCCACGCAAACGCCACGGCTCGTCGTTGGGCGCTTGCGAGATGCGCTGCGGCGTGGCTGTAATTGGCTGATTGCTGGAGAAAAACAACTACATTTTTTTTTTCAATAATCAAGCATTTACCAGCAAGTGGGAGAATCAACGTAGAGAGCGAGAACAGTCATCCAAGGATGGATCGAGCGATTGGGTGATTGACTGGTTGATCGACAGGCGAAAAGAACGTACCCGAAAAAACAAACAACAAGGCTTGATTAGTTTGACTAACTCTTTTTGGTTTGGTTTTTCTTGGTTGTTGGTTAGGTTCCATCTTTCCGTTCTCCTTCTCTCGCTGGGATCCGAGCTTGGTTTCTTCTTCTTTCTGCTGGGTCTGCAAAGGCAGAAAAACAGAATCAACAAGCACCTCGAGAGGGTCTCTCCTTTCTTTCCCTCCCTCCTCCCTTTTTTTTTTTTTTCTCGCTTGGGTCTTTGTCTCCAAAAGAAAGAAAAAAAGCATCGCTCGTTCCAACTCTTTCGTGCTTTGCGAGAGACCGTCGGGCTGGTCTGTAGCTGTAGCTGCTGGCTGTGTGCTTTCTTTTCGTTGGTCTGCAACATCCCTATTTTTTTTTTCCTCGTTCGCGCGTTCGAGCAACCAGCTCGCATTTGAGGACACAAAGCACAACTCCCCCAAAGTTGCTCTTTGTTTCAGCTGAGTGCGATACGATTGGACCGCTTTCCACTATCAACAACCACCCACAAATTTACACACCCACAAACAAACAAACAAACAAAAAAAAAGGCCCTTCCCCCAAACTCGGCTCAATGACATCCCTCGCTGCCAAGTCTGCGTCGTTGGTGTCAGCGCGCTTCTGGGTCGCCGTTCTCGTCATGACGTTTGCGCTCCTGTCTGGCGTCTCGGGTCAGGCGTTTTCGACCCCTCGGAGCCCCGTGTCGACGTCTGCGCTTCGTGTTTACTGTGACGCTCGCAACGCTACTGGTGGCGAGTTCCTTGCCAGCCCCGCGCTTGCGGCGTCCTTGTGCACCAACCAGTTCCGCACAATCACCAGATTATGCACTGGGGCGTGCACACCCGTTTTTGACTTTTACGACATGAAGGAGTTTGATGATGGCGCACGCCTGTTCTTGCAGTCCATCACCAATCGCCTGCGGTCGGACACAACCAATCCGTTCGATCTTCTCACTGGCATCGTCGGCTTCAACGGTACGCTTCCTAATTTGCCTATTCCGTCACTGACAGCCCTTCCCGAGACGGTCGTTCTTTCGGGTGTTGCGCTTGCGATTGGTCGCAGCAACACGTCTGCCCTTGGCTACCGTCTCGAGTCCGCTACGCTGACAATCAACCTCACCTCTGTCGCGTCGTGGAGCTACGATGTTGGACTCACGATCAGTGCGCTCTCGGCCTCGTTCGCACTCATCTTCAATCCGGCCACACGCGACTACGAGTTTTCAGGCATGGTCCAAGGTGTCGCCACCCTCGCCGCATCTGATGCTACCGTCACGGTGCCCTTCCCGAATGCCGAGCGGGTCTCCATCGACTTTGAAAGCCGCCGACCTCTGGTTGCGCAGGTTGTTGGTAACGTCACGACCTACGTTCCCGGACCGCTTCCAGCCTTGTCTGCTGTTCAGTCCGCCCTGCCAACTCTGTTTGCTGGACTCACCATCCCCGCACTTCCTGACAACATCCCCACGCTTACCTCCTTGGCGCTGGGTGAGGTGGAGATTGGCGTTGGCCTGGGCAACAAGCGGCTCGGGATTACTGTGAACCAGGCTGCTTCTTGGCCCGTCTGGTCGGGACTGACTGTTGCCGGGGGCGTCATCCATGTTGATCTGAGCTGGGACGATCGCGACACCGTCTCGGTGAGCGGCTATGTCGAGGGTACTTTGTTGGCTTTTGGCACCGCCTTTGCTGCCCGTGTCGAGTTTCCGTTCGCGTCCACAAGCTCCTTCTCGTTGCTCGCTACCAATTCTTCGCTTGCGACGCTTACTCAAGTGCTCGCTGCGATGCCAGGCGCCCCAACAGTGTCCAATTCCGAGCTGAGTGGAATGCCATCGATTGACGATTCGAGTTTGAACATTGCCACCGGCCTGTACGTGAGCGAGTTCACCTTTCAGCACACCAACAAGACGCTGCGATCACTCTCGTTTGTGGTTTCCGGCTCGCTTGGTGGGACTGCTATTCCGCTCTTTGGCAGTGTGCAGGCGCAAACAACCATCTCCCTGGGCTGCTTTATGAACACGGATGCGTTTGGACGCCGTCAATGGTCGGGCACCCTCTCCACGCGTGTCCTAATTGGCGCACTCTCCCTGCCCATCACCATTCCGTACCCTTCATCCGCGGGAGCGCGTGCATCCATCCAGCTCCCATCGCTCCCATCGGTGCTTGACACGATCGGCCTTCCAGGGACGATCAACACGGCTGCCATTAACGCTATTGCGACGGCAAGTCCGCGCTTGAGTGACCTGCTTGCCTCTGTTCCTCTCCTGGGTCTCTTCCCGCAGCTTGCTCCGAATGTGGATCATACCTTCCTTGTCAACACGTACGTGTCCAACTTTTCGTTTACGCTCGATCAGGCGCGCTCCCGTATTTCCAGTTTCTCGTTGGGCCTTTTCACTGCAAACGGAGGGACAGGCTGGAGGTTCAACTCTTTGGTCATCAACAACGCCCTGTTCTACATCAACATGGTTACAGACGATGCTGGAGGCCGCATGTTCTCGGGTCGCATTCAAGGCCAGCTGTCTTTGGGCTCGCACAAGATTGGCATTTCTGTGCCGTTTGGTCGCTCATCGGAACAGGCGTCGTTCCAGTTTGATCAGTCGAAAATGTCAATCAACGGCTTCCGCGTCGACGATCTGTTTGCAATGCAACGGTTGCCCGCTGGCGTGCTTCAGGGAGATGTTGACGCCTGGATGGCCAATTCTGCCAATTACGTGACCTTTAGCCAGATTTTCAACTTGGTCTTTGGATCGACGGCAAACATGAATTTCGCCATCCCCGGCTTTTCCTCCTTGTCGTTGGATTCTCTTGCCGTGACGGATCTTGCGCTTACACTTGACAGCGAGTCCCAGTCCGTTGCTGCCTTCAATGTGACGCTGCTTACCACGCAGACCATTACCATCGCTGGCATGTCGTTGTCCAAGCTGCGCGTGCAAGCAGGCCTTCAAACGAACTCGCTCGGTGTTCGCTCGTACTTTGGGCGGGTGTCGGGTCGAGCGACAATCGGCACTTCCACCGTTGGTGTCGACATCCCCTTCGGCTACCCTGGTGAAAAGGCGCGATTTTTCGTTCCTGCCATCACCGTCGCCGGCTCTGATTTGAGCCTCAGGCAGCTGGTGCAACTCCCCCGTGAGCTCCCAACTCTGACCGTTCCAGACCTCAAGTTCCGAGATGTCATGGCACTCTTTTCTGGCGCCGGTTTCGCGTCCGATTTCGTCTCACCAGCGGGTGTCTTTACCCCAAGCATTGCGGGCTTACCTGCCCCGGCGTTCATTGGCGATATGGCCATCCTCGACCTCTCGATTGGCTTTGCCCCCAATTATGGCGGGATTGACTCGTTCTCCGTCACGCTGTATTCCAGCTCGCCGTTTGCTGTTTTGCCGACTCTCACCCTGAGCAAGTTTGTCGCTTCGCTCGAAATGACCACCACTGCCAAAGGCCGCAACTTTGCCGGATATGTGCAAGGTTCAGTGCTGGTAGCCACCAAGCCAGTCTCATTCTTTGTCCCGTTCAACCGACCTGGCGAATCGGCGTCGCTCACCGTGCCCGGGCTGACCTTGGAAGGGCGAAAGGTGGCCTCTCTCGTGAGCAAACCTTGGTTCACCCCTGCTAATTTTGCCAGCGTGATCAGCTCGGCGCCCACCGTGTCAAACTTGATGGCAAGCATTCCATTCCTCGGCGATCTGTCCTCCTACATTTCGTCCGAGCTTGCCAGCGTCTCTGATTTGACGCAGCTGTACGTGACCGACCTCAAGTTCCAGATGAGGTCGGATCGCGCTGCCCTCGAAGTCTTTGGTTTCACTGCTCTTTCGACCAACACGTGGACTGTTGTGAACGGCCTTCAGGTTTCCAACATTGCCTTTACGTTTGAAATGAAAAACGGCCAGAACGGCACGCGAACCTTCTCAGCCGTCTTCGCTGGTCGAGTTACCGTGAGCGGCAAGTCCATTGGTGCGCGCATCCCAATCAACCGCCCCGGCGAGCAAGCCAGCTTTGAGTTCCCGCGCATTGCTGTCGGAGACTCGAGTCTCAATGAGATTTTCGGGTTGCCTGCTGGCCCGGCCCAGCCAGTGTCATCGTCCCAGCTCGCGAATGCAGTCACTGGCACGCGCGCCCGCGCGAAAGCCTTCCTCACCACTGCTTTCGACGTGTCGCAGCGACGTGTGGAAGATTTTGTCTTCCGCACTCGGGCCGAGTTGCAAACTCGACTGGCGGTGGCTGCGCAAGCATCCAGCGGTCTGATTACCTTCAACGACATCATCACTGCCATCAGTTTGCCTGCGCTTTCTGCCTTCAGTTTGAATCCTCAAGCAGCCGGGCTTCCCTCGTTCGGCTCACTCGCGATGACAAACATGGTCTTGGAGTTCAATCAACGTACCAGCAGCGGTTTTGGCAATCTTCTTGCCGCGGAGGTCACTGTGCTGTCAACCACCGCATGGAAAATCTGTTCCACCGGCACCATCCAACTGGATGCCTTTGCGCTTCGTATCGGCTTCCGTCGCCAAAACGGCACCGTCTTTTACGGCTCCGTTTCGGGTACGATTGCCTTCGATGCCACATTCATTTTCAGCGCCAAAGTGCCCTTCAACATCCCCTCCGAGCGCGCAGAGTTTACCTTCCCGCGGCTGCGAGTCTTTGGCAAGGACGTCAATGAACTCCTCGGTCTGGGCCTGGAAGCAGCCCGTCAAGTCAACCCCAGTGCTGTTGTGGCTGCCAGCCGCCAAGAGCTCGAGGCTGTCAAGATGGAAGCACGTCGCCGTGCAAGGGCTTTGTTGGCATCGTCCTCGTCCGAGCTGACCCAGCGCGTGGCTGCCTTATCCTCCGCCATCAGCGGCGGCGCGACGCTGACTCTGGGTGCGATTGTCTCTGCGCTCAGCATTCCCGGCTTTTCGAGCTCCATGCTCAATCCTGGTGTGGTTGGCTTGCCCGACTTTACCTCCTTTGGAATCACGCGTCTTGATGTTCAATTCTTGAACAATGACGGCACGGGCATGGCCGGTTTTGCAGGTGCCGGCTTTACCATTATTTCGGGAAGCACTTGGAAGGTGACGCCCTCAGGTTCGCTCTCCATCACATCGTACGGTGTCTCAATCGATGTTCGTCGCGCCGGCAGCTCTTGGTCATTTTCGGGCGTCGTGTCTGGCAGCGTTGTTCTCGGCAGCTCTGCTCTGGTGGTTGGTGTGCGTGCGCCCTTCAACCTCCCTGGCCAATCGCTTTCTCTTGTTTTGCCAGAGCTGCAAATTATGGGCATGAATCTCAACTCGTACTTTGGAGTGTCCTTGGATGATTTGAGCTCGGACTCCTTGATGGATGCAGCAAGCACCCTCGCTACTCGAGCGCGTGCCGAAATTGCGCGCCAAGCGGAGGAAGCCAAGCAACTCGCCAAGCGTACCGCCCGCCAAGTTCTGGCACGCACCACAGCCGAGCTGACTCTGCTGACTTCTCGAATTCAAAGCGCAACCGCGAACGGCATATCGTTGCTATCGCTTGTGAACGCCGTCGGCTTGATCGAGCTGTCGGCGACCGACCTCAACCCCGGCGTGGTGGGCTTGCCCGACTTTGGAGCCTTCCTGGTGACAGACGTTGTGGTTGATTTCAACTCTGGCTTTGCCAACGGTACGCAGGGCTTGACTGGCTTGCGCAAACTCGGCGTCACAATCATCGCGCCATCTTCTGCCTCATCCTGGTTGTTGACACCAACGGGTTCTCTCCGAGTTGCTCAGTTTGCGCTTTCCGTTCTTTTCGAGAATACTGCAAGTGGTAAACTCCTCCGCGGCAAGATTTCTGGTTCCATCACTTTCTCCACGTACGTTTTCGGCGTCAGTCTGCCCTTCAACATGCCAGGCCAGCGTGCAGAGATTGTTCTGCCCAAGGTTTCCGTGCTCGGGTTTGACTTGACTGAGCTCTTGGGCTTGGATGCTGATTCCGCCGTCGAATTGCGTACGCCCAACTTTGAGGGCATCGCAACGGCAGTCAAGGGCCGCGCGCTTGAGCTTGCCGCTCGCGCTGAAGCCGAAGCACGGGCGCGTCTCGAAGCTGCCAAGCAGGCGGCCAAGGACAAGATGCGTCGTTTGATGGCCCAAACCACCACCGAGTTGAATGCCCGCGCAGCAGCGATCGCCGCGGCCACAACCAACAACGTCATCACTCTGGCCCAGCTGGTGACTGCAATCAGTATCCCTGGAGTGACGGCATCGTCGTTGAACACTGGCATTGCAGGCTTGCCCGATTTTGGCGCATTCGGTGTTCTTGATGCGACCATTGATTTCGCTCAACCGAGCGCAACAGCAGCCGGCGACACCACCCCTGGATTTACAGGATTGCGCACTCTCGGTATCACGATTGTTTACTGCTCGGCCTCACCGTGGAGCTTGATTCCCTCTGGATCAATCCAAGTGAAGCAATTTGGCTTGGCGCTTCGTCTTGATCGCGACGCGATGGGCCTCAAGTTTTCCGGTGTTGTCTCTGGAGGTGTCGTTGTCAACACGTTTGTCTTTGGCGTCCGCGCTCCTTTCAACATCCCTGGAGCAAATGTCGAGCTCATCCTTCCCAAGATTGAGGTGATGGGCTACAGTATCAACGAATTTTTGGGCTTGCCGTCTGACGGTACTCCTCTCGAGCTGCGCGAACCTGCCCTCGATCAGATTGCTCGAAACCTGAAAGGAAAAGCAGCTGAACTTGCCGCCCAAGTCGAAGCAGAAGCTGTTCGTCGCCTGGAGGAGGCCAAGCTTCGTGCTCGAGAAAAGATGCAAGCGCTGCTCGCTCAAGGTCAAGCCGAACTGGATGCCCGCGCCGCTGCTCTCGTGGCTGCCACGTCCAATAGGGTTCTGACCCTCGGTGGCTTGGTTGACACGCTTGGCATTTCGACTTTTACCTCTGCATCCCTCAATCCCAACATTGCCGGACTTCCCAACTTTGCCGCCTTTGGTCTGACGGATGTGCTCATTGATTTTGCTCAACCCTCGTCAACTGGCCTGTCGGCGCTTCGAACCTTTGGTGCAACCATCATCTTTACAGGTGATGATTGGTACTTGACTCCTGGCACCGGAGTTCGAGTCACTCAGTTTGCCGTTCGCTTGCGTGTCGACTTGGCTGCCGCAGCAGGCGCCAGCAAGTTCTCGGGCATGCTTTCTGGAGGCATTCAAGTTTCGACCTTCACGTTTGCGGCACGCATTCCCTTTGGCATTCCCGGCGCTCAGGTTGAGATCATTTTACCCAAGGTCGAAGTGTTGGGTATGAATGTCAACGAAATGCTCGGACTGGATGCTTCGACGGCTCTTCAGGTTTCTCGGCCCGACCTCAATCAGATTGCCAGCGCAGTTTCCGCGAAGGCTATTGAGTTGGCCGCCAAGGTTGAGGCAGAAGCCCGTCGTCGTGTCGAAGAAGCTAAACAGCGTGCCCGAGAAACCGTGCGCGGCTTACTTGCAGCGTCGCAAGCCGAGCTCACACTTCGCACGCAAGCGTTGGTTGCAGCCACCCAGAACAAAGTTCTACGTCTCGGTGTTCTGGTGGATGCCATCAACCTTCCCGGACTTTCTTCCAGTGATCTTGATACCAAGATCGCGGGTCTGCCAAATTTCGCCAACTTTGGATTGACTGACGTTGTGATTGAGTTTGCGACGCCCAGCCCCCTGTCTCCCCAAGGATTCCCAGGGTTCCAAACCCTCGGCTGCACAATCATTTACTCGTCCACCGATCCGTGGAAGCTCACACCGAGTGGTGGTTTGGCTATTACGCAGTTTGGCGTTCAACTTCGACTCGACTTTCTCCCGACTTCGCGCAAGTTCTCTGGGCTTATTAGTGGTGCAATCACAATGAACTCTCAGTACACATTCGCCATTCGTGTGCCATTTGGCTTGCCGAACGCGCAAGTTGAATTCATCTTGCCGAAAGTGGTCGTGGCTGGTGTCAATATCAACGATCTGCTGGGCGTTCCGAGCGATGGCTCGCCGGTTTCTCCAGGTTCAATCGACCCGCAAGCCCTTGCGTCCACCCTTCAGGGCAAGGCTGCCGAGCTCGCGACCAAGGCCGAAGCAGAGGTTCAACGTCGTGTTGAGGAGACCAAGCTGCTTGTAAAGCAGCAAATGCGCTCTCTTCTCGCCCAGGGCCAGGCTGAACTCGATCTCCGCACCCAGCAAATTATTGCCGCAACGCAGAACAAGGTTCTTACCTTTGGCTCCATTGTTGACGCTATCGGCATCAACCTCGTTTCGTCCGCCGACCTGAATCCAGGCGTTGCTGGCTTGCCCAACTTTGCAGCCTTTGCTGTGACCGATTTTGTTATTGAATTTGCCCCTCTCAATGTCTCTGATCCGTCCGCATCAAATCCCCTCCAAGGATTTGACCGTCTGCGCGTTGTGGGCGGCACCATCATCTACACGTCGGCATCACCTTGGAATCTCACACCGAATGGGTTGATGGCAGTGTCTCAGTTTGCTGTCAAACTTCGTGTCGAACGCCTTGACGGCTCGCTCCGCTTTTCTGGCTTCCTTTCTGGTGGCATTCGAATTTCGACCTTCTCGTTTGGTATCCGCGTGCCTTTCAACACACCTGGCCAAGTGACGGAGCTCATTCTTCCAAAGATTGAAGTGTTTGGCGTTGATGTCAACTCTATGCTGGGCTTGTCTGCCGATGAGACGGTGGACCTCTCCAAAGTTGAGCCAGCTGCTCTCAAAGGCAAAGCGGCAGAGCTTGCTGCGATTGCCGAGGTCGAGGCGCGCCGTCGCCTGGAAGAGATTCGTCTGCAAGCCAAAGAACGCATTCGCTCAGTCATGGCTGCCTCCAAAGCGGAGCTTGAGCAACGAGCTCTTGCCTTGGTTGCAGCAACCCAGTCCAAAGTTTTGCTGTTTGGAGTACTGGTAGACGCCGTTGGCATCCCCGGATTTACATCGTCCTCGCTGAATCCCGGAATTGTCGGTTTGCCCAACTTTGCTCAGTTCGGTCTCACCGACCTCCTTGTGGACTTTGCCGCTCCCTTGGCCAACGGCTCTTCCGGCTTTGCTTGGCCGCGTTCCATCGGAGCTACGATCGTTTACATTGCTGCCACGCCTTGGTACTTGACCAAGTCGAATTCCATCCAGGTCACCCAATTCGGGTTGCGAATTCGAGTCGATTGGTCGCCGTCGCCCAAGTTTTCAGGTCTTGTCAGTGGCGGTGTCGCGATCAACTCGTTTGTTTTCGCTGCACGAATTCCGTTCAACATGCCCAACCAACAAACCGAATTTATTCTTCCGAAAGTGGAGGTGCTGGGCATGAGTCTGAACGATCTTCTTGGGTTGCCATCAGATGGCACGCCTGTGCAGACGTCCTGGGACAGTCTCCAGCAAGCCAGTGCACAGACTGCTGGAGAACTGGCTGCGAAACTCCAAGCTGAGCTGCTGCAACAAGCCGAGGCTGCCAAACAGCTGGCACGCGACCGTGCGCGGTCGCTGCTTGCTCAGAGTCAAAGTGAACTTGCATCACGCGCTCAGGCTCTCGTTCGCGCGACAAAGGACAAGGTGCTCACTCTTGGTGCCGTTGTTGACGCGATTGGACTGGATTCTGTCCGAAGCTCCGATTTGAATCCGAATGTGGTTGGGTTGCCCAACTTTGCCATGTTCGGCGTGACGGATGTTGGAGTTGATTTCGTCGCGAACAATGCCACTGAATCATTAACTGGAGCATTCGGATCTTTGCGCCGATTCGGTGTTACCATCGTGTACATGGATACGCTGCCGTGGAATCTGTCGCCAAGCGGTTCGGTCAAAGTGACGCAATTTGGCGTTCGCCTCCAAGTGGTGTCCGTTGGAGACGCAAAGCAATTCTCTGGCTTTATCAGCGGAGGTGTTTCAATCAGCACCTTTGTTTTCAGCGTTCGAGTTCCCTTCAATTTGCCCGGTGAAACCGTCTCGTTCGTGCTGCCGAAAGTTCAGGTTCTGGGCTTCGATGTCAATGAGTTGCTAGGACTTTCGTCTGACGGAGTCATCACTGCACCGAATGAGAGTGTTGAGCAAATCGCTTCGAATTTGCGAGGAAAGGCAGCAGATCTTGCGGCGCAAACACAGGCCGAGGCTCATCGTCGAGTCGAGCAGGCCAAGCAACTGGCCAAAGAGCGCGCTCGCGCGTTGCTTGCTCGTGGCAAAGCAGAGCTTGACGCACGAACTGCAGCCCTCGTGAAAGCAACGGCAGACGGCCAGGTCTTGCGTCTGGGTGATCTCGTGGACAGTATTAGCATTTCTGGCTTGAACTCTGCTGTGCTGAACCCTGGCATTGCAGGGCTGCCCAACTTTGCATTGTTTGGTATCACCGACCTGGTTATCGACTGCGTTCAAAACAAGTCTGGCGATTCCCCACTGGCCGGCCTTCGCGCCCTGGGTGTGACTCTCGTGTACACCAACAGCGAACCTTGGAAGCTGACAAGCAGTGGTAATATTACTGTGTCGTCGTTCGGCATCGCACTGCGCATGGATCAAAGTCAGAATGGTCGCAAGTTCTCCGGCATGGTGAGCGGTGGCATTACCGTCAATCAGTTTACGTTTGGCGTTCGAGTTCCGTTCTTCATGCCTGGCAAGAATATTGAGTTCATTTTGCCGAAGGTTGAGATTCTTGGATACAACGTCAACGAGCTGCTTGGATTGCCGAGCGACGGTTCCCCTGTCGAAGCCACTCAAGAGAACGTCGAGCGTCTTGCGTCTGACCTGAAGGGCAAGGCTGCGGAGCTGGCCGCCCAAGTTGAAGCGGAAGCGCGTCGTCGTATTGAGGAAGCCAAGCAGCAAGCCAAGGAGCGTGCTCGCGCTCTTCTGGCACGCGGCAAGGCTGAACTTGATGCTCGTGCATCTGCCCTCGTTGAAGCGACCAAGGGCGGCAAGGTTCTCCTTCTTGGCGATCTTGTCGATGCCATCGGTATTCCCGGATTTGATTCGTCCACTCTGAATCCTGGCATTGTCGGTCTTCCGAACTTTGCCCTGTTCGGTTTGACGGACATCATCATCGATTACTCGCAACAAAACGGCACCAATTCGTCGGTTCTTGCTGGTCTTCGTACCATCGGTGTCACGATTGTGTACACGAACTCGCAGCCCTGGAAGCTGACCAGCAGCGGCAACATCACTGTTTCCTCATTTGGTGTCACGCTGCGTGTTGATCAGACTCCAAGTGGCCGCAAGTTCTCTGGCATGGTCAGCGGTGGCATCACTGTCAATCAGTTTACGTTTGGAGTCCGCGTTCCGTTCTTCATGCCTGGCAAGAACATTGAGTTCATTTTGCCGAAGGTTGAGATTCTTGGATACAACGTCAACGAGCTGCTTGGATTGCCGAGCGACGGTTCCCCTGTCGAAGCCACTCAGCAGAATGTCGAACGGCTTGCGTCTGACCTCAAGGGCAAGGCTGCTGAGCTGGCTGCTCAAGTTGAGGCTGAAGCACGTCGCCGCATTGAGGAGGCCAAGCAGCAAGCCAAGGAGCGTGCTCGCGCTCTTCTGGCACGCGGCAAGGCCGAACTCGATGCTCGTGCTGCTGCGCTCGTTGAAGCGACCAAGGGTGGCAAGGTTCTCCTTCTCGGCGATCTTGTCGATGCCATCGGCATTCCCGGATTCGATTCTTCTACTTTGAACCCCGGCATTGTTGGTCTGCCGAACTTTGCTCTTTTCGGCTTGACGGACATTATCATCGACTATACTCAGCAGAATGGTACCAACTCGTCAGTTCTGGCTGGCCTTCGTACGATTGGTGTCACGATTGTGTACACGAACTCGCAGCCGTGGAAGCTGACCAGTAGCGGCAACATTACTGTCTCCTCATTTGGTGTCACCCTTCGTGTCGATCAAACACCGAGCGGCCGCAAGTTCTCTGGCATGGTCAGCGGTGGCATCACTGTCAATCAGTTCACGTTTGGAGTCCGCGTTCCGTTCTTCATGCCTGGCAAGAACATTGAGTTTATCTTGCCGAAGGTTGAGATTCTTGGATACAATGTGAACGAACTGCTTGGACTGCCCAGCGACGGTTCCCCTGTCGAAGCCACTCAAGAGAACGTTGAGCGTCTTGCATCGGATCTCAAGGGCAAGGCTGCTGAGCTTGCTGCCCAAGTTGAGGCTGAGGCGCGTCGTCGTATTGAGGAGGCCAAGCAACAGGCCAAGGAGCGTGCTCGCGCGCTTTTGGCTCGTGGCAAGGCTGAGCTTGAAACCCGTGCTGCTGCACTCGTTGAGGCAACCAAGGGTGGCAAAGTTCTCCTTCTCGGCGATCTCGTCGATGCTATCGGCATTCCAGGATTCGACTCGTCCACACTCAACCCTGGTATTGTTGGTCTTCCGAACTTTGCTCTGTTCGGTTTGACTGATATCATCATCGACTATACTCAGCAGAATGGCACCAACTCGTCCGTTCTTGCTGGTCTTCGCACCATCGGAGTGACCATCATCTACACGAACTCCCAGCCCTGGAAGCTGACTAGCAGCGGCAACATTACTGTCTCATCGTTCGGTGTCACGCTGCGTGTCGATCAGACTCCCAGCGGTCGCAAGTTCTCTGGCATGGTCAGCGGTGGCATCACTGTCAATCAGTTCACGTTTGGCGTTCGTGTTCCGTTCTTCATGCCTGGCAAGAACATTGAGTTTATCTTGCCGAAGCTTGAGATTCTTGGATACAACGTGAATGAGCTGCTTGGATTGCCGAGCGACGGTTCGCCTGTCGAAGCCACTCAGCAGAACGTCGAGCGTCTTGCATCTGACCTTAAGGGCAAGGCTGCTGAGCTGGCTGCTCAAGTTGAGGCTGAAGCTCGTCGCCGCATTGAGGAGGCTAAGCAGCAAGCCAAGGAGCGTGCTCGCGCGCTTCTGGCATCGCGGCAAGGCCGAACTTGATGCTCGTGCTGCTGCACTCGTTGAGGCGACATAGCGGTCGCAAGGTTCTCTTCTCGGCTGATCTCGTTGATGCTATTGGCATTCCCTGGAGTTCGATCTCGATCCAACACTCAACCCTGG